ACCAGTAAATCTCAAAAACAGTTCTGAACAGTCCAGAATTTGACGTATAATTCAAAAATGATATATTATTTAAAGGGTTTTATTTGAAAAAACATCGATGGCTGCAACCAATATTTTAGATTGATGTCTCTTTAACTTGTCCATAAACCTCTAATGATTCAGTTAGGTAATTCACCCAGTATATTTGAATATTTTAGTTAAATTACATATGACTATATTTTGTACGTGGGTATAGATTATTTAAAAACTAATTAGTCAGTTAAGGACATAATTAGTGAAGAAGAAAGGAAATTGAAGTAGGCTTAAAAACCTTTGTTAGAAATTGTGTAGTGCCTAAGAAATGCCTACTTCTGAAACAGTACTTTACCTAAATTAATGTCAGAAAATGGAGTTAAATACAATATGTATACAATTTCTCAGTATAGACAATGAAATAAAAATGAAAATGAAATGAAATTAGATAACAATAATTAGAAAATTGTAAAGGGTTTTTTATTAGAGTGATAGATCCTGCTGTCATTTTTTGACGCACGTATTCTACAAAGCTTGTCATTTTATAATGGAGAGATACACAAGTGCTCAAAGAATCCAGATAGGTATCTCAATTTTATTATCAAATTTTTCAATCTTAGAACATCCACTAATTTTTGTTGTACAAATCACAAAATACCTCGCTAAAAGGTCAAATTTTGCGATATTGTCCAAAAATGCAGGTATATATATTTCTAATATAGATGACTTTTCGATCTAGTAGGGACCAAATTGTATTCCGGGTATAGAAATTTTCTATACCCGGAATACAATTTTGTCCCTACTAGATCGAAAAGTCATCTATATTTCATACTTTTCATTGAGCGATCCACACACTAGCACCAACAACTCTATGAACAAAACCGAACTAACCTGGGTGGCGATTCTCGAGTTAAGAGAACGCTTCTCATAGGAGAAGTGGGCATTTCTCTCAAGTTTTGACAGGCTGCATTATTGAATTTAAGATAAGTTAGTGCGTTCTTCTCTCGGAAACTCTTTTCTGCTTTAGGAAAACCAAACTATTGCATGATTTTAAGAATGCAGCCTGTCAAAACTTAAGTGAAACACGCCCACTTCTCATGAGAATAGCGTTCTCTCAACTCGAGAATCGCACCCCTGGAATACAAATTCTCGGGCAACACGATCCCGGCCAAACCATGGTCGCCAATCTTAAAAAGGTTTTACGACATAACAGGTATCCGTTATAACTTCGTATTGGTAAATATTTTCGTTAGTGACGATAATAAATAATAATAATTTTTTAAAATTTTGGGGTTTTATAAAAATTATTAAATTATTATTATTTCATTCCATTTCAAAAAAATATTTTTTAATTTTATCCAAATATTAATTCAGGTCCACATAACTTTATATTAAGTTTACAACCAACTGTAATATGTTAACTAATTGAAATTATAAAGAAATTAGGTACAATATAATGCAGTACTACTGCAACACTTTCTGATGTATTTCGTAACTTTAATCCACTTCACTGTATTTCAGATTGAAAACCAGTGATGGCATCTTTTTTAGCACTTCGCACACTCGTTTAATAGGTATAAGGAATCCGAATAACAATAATAACAGATTTTTGGTAATATATTATAAACAATCTGAACAGTTGTTACGAACACGTTACGAATTAGAATAAAGTACGCAGAAACATAAGTTGCAGTTAAACTTGTTTATGCGTATTGTCAGTGGGAAATGTTTTGAATGACTGCCTGAAATCACGTGTACTTTTTTGAAATAATTTGTTTAAACATTAACAAAATAATCTGTAACCTTTGAAATTAACAAAATGCTTGCATTACCTTTACAAAACTTTCCCTTGTTTTCTACAAAAATTTATGTTAAAATTTTACAAAATAAAATTTACAAACTACAAACTCATGTGATCTGATCAAATCAGATTTTTATAACAGTGTACCTCTCTGAAAATACTGTATGAAATGAAAACTTTTCATGTTCCTTTAGAACCTAAAGAGTAACTTTCTTTGGTCTTTGATCAAAGAAAGTAATTTTTACCGTATTGTTTTTAGAGAAGTAAGTATATTAAAGTTGTCCTAGATAGTATTTTTTATTTTGTTATTCCGAAACTTTATTACCGAAGAATAAACGAATTTTTGAAATGTATTAATTGTTTTTTACTTTTTATGCCTTTTCTTGATTCTTCAACTCAAGGCTAGTTTTTGTTTGATTATAATTATCAAACAAACCTTATAAGATGTGTTTATGATGTATCGGGAAATTTTGTTTCACTATATTGAAAAATTATACTTACGCTTAATTACTGTTAATTTTTTGTTAAAACCGATACCCTTATGATGGCCCACCCTACATATTTGCCAGATATTGACAGATATTATGTTATCTAAACTCTGCATCGCTTTGTGGCGTTTATTTAAAATGGAGTTCGTTTGTTCCTCATACACAGTAAAAAAATATTTGTTAATTTTAACAAAATATTAACCAGATTTTATGTTAATCCAGGTCCACATAACTTTATGTTAAGTTTACAACCAACTGTAATCTGTAATTGAATAGGTAGTTTGTAATTATAACAGAATTTTGTAGATTTAATAACAAAATTCTGTCATTAATTCAACCATAATTTTTGTATGTAATTTTTAAAAAGGACCTTATTTACAATCCGTTTTGTAGACCCAAAAGTATTTGTTGGAAATTGGGAACCTTGGTAAGAAATGTTGCTTTATTAATCAATTTCCTAAACAAAAAAATTAACACATACCTACATAAATGAACACAAAAATAACACACCATTCTAAACACATCAAATTATAAATAAATTTGGTACAATATAACTATCAGTACTACTACTACTACTACTACTACACTTACTGATGTATTTCGTGTCTTCACTGAATCCCCAAACTTTAGTTTGGAAACCAGATGGCACTTCGCACACTCGTTAAATAGGTACAAAAAGTTAATTTTTAAGTGTGCCCCCCCAGCCTCCTGCCCCTTCCAAATTAAGATAATTCAAATTAAAGTTGTACAATATTTAATTCACTGAAGTTTATCGACAAATTTCAAATTTTATTAAAAAAATTCAAGTATTATAGATTTTATACCATTTCTATTTTTTTTAATTTAGTAAAAGAAATAATAAAAATTTAAAATGGTATAAAACCTGTAATTCTTAAATTTTTTTAATAAAATTTGAAATTTGTCGATAAACTTCAGTGAATAAAATATTGTACCACTTTAAATTGAATTACCTTAATTAGGGGACAGGCTGGGGGGGCACACATAAAAACTAACTTTTTTCGCTCGTCTATATAATGTCATTATAAACTCATATAAATTTGATGTGGATCCCATGTCTATAGACATGGACCAGTCATTATAATGACTGGTCCTTTTTAAAATAATTACAAACACAAGTTTTATACAAAAAATTATGTTCCAATTTTACAAAACAAAGTTAACAAACCACAACCCAGGTAGCACACTGACGTCTGCTGACGTTTATATGACGTTGAAATGACGTTGCTAACGTCATTTAAACGTCAGAAGACGTCATATAAACGTCAGCAAACGTCAGTGTGCTACCTGGGAAACTCATATTAACAAATCTGATTTTAACAACAGTGTGGTTTTCGGACCGCTCTATGAAATAGTGTGTAACATAAGCGACTTTTTGACCCAGGAGGGACAATACTGAATTTCTGTTATTAAAATATTATATAATACAGTAAAATACCCGTACTTAGCAACCTTTTAACAACGGATCTATTGAGTGGATGTTTCAAGATTTGACAAATACTAGTGCTCTTGTGTGGATGGCTTCGTGAAGAGCGTAAAGGGGTCGTCCATAAATCTCGTGACGGGATGGTTTGGAAGACCGTCACGATTTGCCAAGCCCGATTATTACAAAAAAGAATCGGAAAAATTATTTTTAGGGGGTAGGAAGTTTGATAATTTGTCACATGACTAGAGATTTAAAGGTTCGGAAAAAAACAGGAAAAATTGGAAAAAAACAGTGTTTTTTTCCGTTTTTTTCCCGAGCCTTGGAAAAATTGAAAAACGGAAAAATTGAAAAAATATTTAAAAAAAAATCGAAAATATAAAAAGTATTTTGATTTGATATAATTTATGTATTAATGAGTGGAAATTAAATAAATATATTTTTGCAGTAGTACAGAAGTCTGTGCTTTGAGCAAAAAGCATACCATTGTGTATTGTGGGTACAATAAAAAAAGTATATTTAATACAAGATAAATGTTTTTATGCTTACCGTAACGCTGTAAACGAACGACGATCGGTCTGACGTGTCGGTTCCTAATCAGCTGATCGGGCAGGGTTGCCATTGTGATGTTAAAATTATTGAATATGCTACTAACTCCTGGGTATTGGTATTTTGAATAGTTACCTATACAACAATGATTTTAATGTGAATTACGGCCGTCGGCAACTAGGCAACTAGGATTTTTTCATCGTTAAAAAGCATGACCCTACAGGTGCCTCCCCCGGGGGGCGCCTATACATAACGGGAATTTTTTAATCAAAATAATTTATAAATATTATAAAAAATATTTAAAATATTTTTAAACATTTTTTTTAGTTTTTAAGAAAATATCAATTTTTCCCAAAATTTCCGTTTTTTCCCAATTTTTCCAGGAAAAAAACAGGGTTTTTTTCCGACACTCAATTTTTCCGGAAATTTTGAATCTCTACACATGACCCTTCGGGAGGGTTCTTAAATCGTCACATTCTGTCACGTGGGAGGAGAAGAGGGTCAATTGCGACCATTTTTACATTACATTTTGTATATATGCAAAAAAGGCATTAAGGAAGAAGAAAAAGAACCTTTCTGGACCGTCATTTTACAAGCATCAATATTAATCCTGACATTAACGAAGACAAATATATAAAACGAAAACGTTATTATCTTTCTTAAATAAACTTTCGGTACATTTATGTAACAAAATGAAAACACGGAATTTATTAATCAATCAATAATTTTTATTCGCTTAAAACACAAGTACTTTTCCTGCCGTATTTGTACTGCAACTTAAGCTGACCCACTTTAGTGACGCTCGTAACATTCGGCAGCCAACCAATGAAAAACGAGTTATTAGTATTGTCACTTTCGTCGATCGTCGATTGGCCCACGTTCATGAAAAAAATGAAACTCGTGTCCGAGGACGACTCGTTTTTTTCGTCTTCTATGAACCCGGTGAGTCGGTTGTGAACAAATTTTTTTGACAGGCGAAGTTTGATCTGAAAAAAGTTTTACCGTAAAAGATGTGCAACAGTTTTTTTCCACGACTGTACTTACAGTTGGGGTGTCGAATATTTCTTTTACGTGTAAAATGTTCATTATGTGGAATAATTCCTCATTTTTGATGCCACTTATTTTGTTTTCTAAATAAATTTGTGGTATTTTTGATTTGAAAAATAAATAAAACTCCTGAAAATAACAAATAAGGTGGTAAAATAGAATATGCCTATTTTATGGAACCTCTTTTTAATTATACAATGAGAAAACATGGGACAAATAAACTGTGTTGCTAATACTTTTTAATAATAGTGAATATATTCCCAAGCAGCATTTTTGGTTCCAAAAACCATTACCAAAGTGGTGATAACTTTAAATTAGTTAAGTATACTAAACAGCTACTTTAATTTTTTACTTAAAAGTAATTCTAACTTTTAAATAGCAATATTTTGTAACAGAAAATTCATTCTTTCCTTAAATGGTTACTATAAAGTAATAAACATTTAAGTAAAACTTGGTTGCCCCCAAGTAGACTTTGCAACTTTAAGGTGTTATAAGTAAAAAAAACTTTCAAGTAAATTTAATTTGTAGCAGTTACTTTCGGTTGCTACCTAAAGATTACATTATAATTATTTTTACTTTGTAGTCCCTTTGCAAGTTAAAATCTCGAAACTGGAACATGAGTTAAAAACTACAAAGTTAATAAATTAAAAGTTATTATTTTAGTATTTGGACCGTTTATGGTACTAACCAAAACTACCGTAAAGTAAATTAAGGTGGAAAAAAACTCTTAAGTAGCGAAAACTACTTCAAAGGAAAATGCTTCTTATCGGCCATTTTTTACTGTACAGTACCACCTGGTAATGTAAATATTAAATTATTTTAATTGTTTGTAAATGGTTGTTTACTTTTTAATAAATAGTAATTTTGTTGGTAATAGACGGTATTAATAATTAAATAAAAAATTAATAATAAATATTAAGATTTTTTTATTTATAAACATTGTTAAATAAATAATTTGTTTATACTTAAATAAGGATGAAGCGCATTTATTTTACAAAAACTAAATTCATAAGTTCAACAGTAAAATTTAAAGGATTTATAAATTTACCTGCCTAATTTAACATTATATTGTTATTCTGGAAGTTATAAACTACCAGTACATATTTAATAAACGACGACATTGAAAAGCCAAGTCCGTAGTGGTTCAATTTAAAAAAGGAGGGATAGTATAATTTAATATAAGTTTGACAAAGACAGTTAATATAGAAGTAAAAACAAATAAATACAAGTAATTATAACGCTCTAGCAACGATATTAAAACGTTCTAGTAACGTAGCAGCTACGTTCTAAATAGTAGCAGGGTTTATAGCCGGTGACATATTTGCTACCTTTTTGGAAATCAATAATTGTTCCCCACTTTAGTCGTAACTTAGTAATAAAAGAGAAATATAAAGAGACCGGCGACTGTCGCAAAACACTTTAAAGTTTCTTCAATAGTCCTATATACGTAACAACTACTTAAATTGTTGCTTGGGTTGTTTATTACCTCTAAATAGTCGAAATAATAACGATAAATTTACTTTAGTAAAACTTTATGTGTCAGGAATAAAAATATATTCAGAATAAATAAACAATGCTTTTGTCCCATATTTAATTATTCTTTTTATTTGGGAACCAAAATGTTTTTTTTTCTCAGTGTATGATTAGCAGCGCCATTTACTTAAAACCAAACTTGTTAATAATATTTTATTAAAATAAAATTTGTAATACGTAAAAAAAATTACCTCTGGGATATGAAAAACTTGTGTATTTAACAATCCACAATTCTCAAATTGCATAGAATTATTTATTGATTCTGTTACATAAGTTAGCCAATCATTATATTCCCATGATACAGATTTATTCCCATCATTTTCACCGTTCAGAATTTTTATGTGTACTGGAAAAATCTTGGGCATTAATAGTTGAGATTTTTTCACATCCTTATTATCGTTTTTATTTTTCCTTTTTCTTTTTAGCTTGGGTTTTAGGCTTTGTGTGGTTGGTAGTGTTTTGGATATTTCTTTAACTATAATATCTGAAGATTCTAAAACGATAAACAAGTTGAGATTATTTTTAAAATAGGTCATTTTCTTACTTGATGTTACGGGGAATTCGTGGTTTAAAAATGTGTTAAATTCTTCTACATATTTTTCATTGCTTGCAAAGGCCCATATGCAAGCAAAATAATGTATACATTTGTGACTTATATTACTAGAAACTAAAAAAAAATATTTACTTATGCACAACTCTAAACATTGACTTACTTACATTTAAACTCTGCGCATGAGCAGTAGTATTTGTCGTAAACATCCCTCCCTTTCAAGTTTAAAAAACAAAAATGCAAATACCCTAAGGGGTGCTTAGGTGAAACTTGACACTTAACAGCCAAAACATGCTTAGAAACTCTCTGTACAAGCGGGCCTTCTTTTTCCGTAGCCAAAACATACAACTTCATCCTAATTTCATCAGTAACTTTCAGACTATGCAGTGTGCTGTGCTTTATGTTAATATCAGTGGCCATTTTTTGACTTTTTGAAGCCTCCTTGATGTGTTGACAGAATAAATTGTCACTGTTTATCGTCTCTTCGTGGCATTTTAATATCGAATCATCAAATAGGCGTTGACAAGAGTCAACAAAGCACAAAGCAACTTCTGAAAGTGCGATGCTGCCGTTTTTTTCACCCCTAAAAGGCAACTGCACAAAACCTCTTTGATCTGGGCCCCCATCTCTAACTCTCACAGAGTAAACTTGCCTTAATGTTCCAGTATTTAATTGTACAGCATCTAAGTTTACCTTGCATTTCTCTTCAGGGGCTGTGCGCAAAACTACACCACAACTTTTACATGTTAAACTTTTAGTTCCGTTAAATTTATCACATTTAAAGCATTTTTTCGAACCTCTTTTCGTGCATTTGCCCAAACCAGATATTATATTTGTTGTGTTTATTGGTAAAGTAAATGCATTTCCATCATTCATTGCGCTAAATCACAGAACACAAGCGCTAAATGATTTAAAATAGATTTTGTTTTAAAAATAGTTTTATTTAAAAACAGTACAGCCATCTATAAGTAAGCATTCCAAGTAAATACAGCAAACTGTAATAACTTCTACGGTTTTGTTGCTCTATTTTGACAGTTAAAAACTAACCTAACATGATCAGTCAATAACAAATCGCTCTAAAGTCATGTTGAGCCACATTGGAAGCGTTTTAAGGCAAGCTCGTGTAACATTTACGTGTAGTAAGGACCTACTTTACCAGAATATCGAGATTTTGAAGGCGTTATTGGATAAAACGACATCGGAAGATGTAAATTTAAGCAGTCAGTTTCAAAGTGAGGAACTGTGGAAGAGACCCAATAAAGCTCCAGTGTCTTATATTGATATTTTTGAGGATGATAATTTTACCGTTGGTATATTTGTTTTACGGCCTGGCATGAAATTGCCTCTACATGACCACCCTGAGATGTTTGGTTTGATTAAAGTAATTAGTGGTAAAATTAAAGTTAGGAGTTTTTCAATGGTGCAAAATGAGACTGGGGGTAGTAAAGGGTTTTTTAAGAAGACGTTTTTTAAGGACAGTGTGCTGAAAAGCAATGTGGTTGTGGTAGAAAAATGTGACGACATTATATTAGACAAAAATAGTGAATCCTGTATACTTGAGCCCGATATTAAAAATCTACATGAAATAGAAAGTGTAGATGGTCCGGCAGCTTTTATTGATATTTTATCACCCCCTTATGATACTGAAATACCCTTAGTAGGGCCACGAAAGTGTAATTATTACAGTACTCTATCACAGGTTTCACAGAATGTTTTTAAGTTGCAAAAAGTTGGTTGTCCTTCATGGTATTGGACTGACTCTTTCCAATACACAGGCCCTGATTTGCCTACAGAAATAAAGGCACAAGTTAACAAATAATGTTTATGAAATTTTATTTAGGATTGTTTGTGATAATAGTTAAATTTTTGTATTAATCATAAAAGAAAATTATATGAGGCAGTTATTTATGTTTTAATAAAGTTTTTCTACATTAATCACTCGTTTAATTACCAATTAAGGTCATTTATTAAAAAATTAACAATTCAAATATGGGGTTCTTGTTACGTTCACGTTGGTAGCGCGCCTGTCAGTGTGAGTTGGCAACTCCGTATTTTGACAGTAAATAAATTAAATGTTTATAAAATTCGAGTAAACATCATGGTTTAAAAAACATCATCACTTGCAACAACATAACATTGACTAACATCATAAGACGAAAGAAACAACTCAAGAAATTGTGTGCTAAATTTATGTTGTGCTATTAAACAATGAGCTCAGTCGATGTGGATGTCTCGAGCGATACCAAAGTGATTCCAGTGAGACAAAAGGAGTCCACGAAGTATTGTTGGGTCTGTTTTGCCACAGATGAAGAGGACAGGGAGGCTTCTTGGGTGCAACCTTGCAATTGCAGGGGAACTACCAAATGGGTAAATAACAAAATGTCCCAACTCTTTGTACAAGTATTTTAAATGAGTGTTATATCATAAAATATAAAACAAATTATACCTATTTTAATATACCAAAAATTGTAATTAATCTTATTTATAGAATCTATAGTATAGGTAATATAATGCAACTATATAGAAAAAAGTTAAAGTTCGTTTTTTTAAATAATGAATACATCTGATAAGCATGTCATTAGTTTGACAAGTAAATAACCTTATTTTTAGTAAATGTCTAGCTCTTTTGTATTTCTTAAAATTAACACTTCGTCACCTGAGAATTATAGTGTTCCATCTGCATTTTTTTTTAAATTGAGGTTAGTCTTGTTTTAAGTCTTAAAGATGCATATTGTTCTAATTGGGTTTAAAATTGTACAGATTAAGGCTTAAACTGTACAATTTCTACCCCAATTATATATAGATAGAACAATATGCATCTTTAACTAACAAGACTAACCTTAATTAAAAAAAAAATGCAGATAGAACACTATAATTCTCAGGTGACGACTTGACAAAATATAAGTCACCCTGTGTACAACTTTACCCCAATTGTTTCTTAGGTGCACCAAGTATGTTTGCAACGCTGGGTGGATGAGAAACAAAAAGGTGGCAACACAGGACGAGTGATTTGCCCGCAATGCCAGACTGAGTATATCATTGTGTTTCCAAACATGGGGATCCTAGTCTTATTTATGGACACTGTTGACGGTTTTATTTACAAGGGCTGTCCTTTTTTGGCCGCTGGTATTGTTGTGGGGGCCATCTATTGGTGTGCGGTTACATATGGTGCCATTACAATCATGCAGGTTAGTTTACAGTTGCAAAAAATATTATAAATTTCAATGCGTTATCTTGACAATGTTGAATAAAGCCGTGAAATGGTGCTGCACAACTATGTTGCAAATAAAATACATGGTGTTATGGAAAATGATTTAGCGATAATTATTGTAGAATATTAATTAGTAAGTCATTTGGAACAAAAAATGTTACATGTATTTTTTTCATTTCTAGATTTTTAATAGGGATCGATTAATACCGATATTAAAAGCCGATATATCTGTATATCAGTCTTTCAAATATCGGTATCGATATCAAAAGCCGATGCACGATATATATAGGCCTATATATTGGTATATCGGTCCCTAAAATATCGTTATCGGCTCAAATTTCTATATTGGTCGATCCCTAATTTTTAATTTAGTAAAATGTTACCGACATTAAAAAAAATGTTAATCCAAAACCATTGCATTGAGTGCCAATCGATTCACTGCATAAATAACAAAAAACCGTAGAATTGAGGTTAGGTATGTCCCTTTTAGTAGAATTGAGGTTAGGTATCTACACTAACTAACCCAACCTAACATATCCCTTGCCAATGAAGAAAATAAAAATTGTTAAAACCAAAATTTACAAACTTTACTTTTACATTTACAAACAATATTTTTTTATTTTAACTTTTAATGCAAATATATAACTTTATTATAACTTGGAATTTTTAAGGCCCTCAATTAGTAGCAAATTAATACCTTTAGGTTAGTACATTATTATATTTAATTTTACACTCACCTGCAAAAATTTAATAAAGTTTTTTATAGGTTATTGGACAAAAAGAAGGTTTGGCCATAATGGAACAAGCTGACCCTTTGGTTTTACTAATTGGTTTACCCGCTATACCAGTTGCTTTAGTTTTGGGCAAAATGATACGTTGGGAAGATGCCGTTTTAAATTTTATGAGAAAAAACGTGTCCAAAGTACCGATTTTGAGAAGTATACTGCCGTTCAGGTAAATTAACCCTTAAAAAATTTTAAATGATACTTTTTATTATAACTACCGTAAATACGGGTGACTTTGCACCCCGCGGGTGACTTTAACCCATTTATGAAAAATCTTTTCGCGCTCGATAAAATTAACATTTATAATTTGTTGGTCTAAACCTGTCAATTGAGCGATTCTATTGAGTTTATATTACAGGGAAATCAGTGTTTTAAAGAAAGAAATGGGATTTATTACACTTTAAAATTGTATATATCGTATCAGTGCAAAACTCTAGAAATACACGCGTTACATTTTCTTTATTATGCGCAATCCATTGGAATGATGATCCTTGGTTAACTACAGGTCGATTTTTTATTTTTTTTATTGGTAATCCCTTGCAATAGATATATGTCGCTGCTAACACGTGTCTAATAAAAATAAAATATAATATTACATTCATTTTATACTGAAAAAACACTGTGAGACACAGAGACCCAGTTTTTAATGTTTATTTTTGAAACTCAGCCCTATATAATATTAAAACATAGTTATTATGAAAGAGCAACTCAAGACTCAAATTTTGGTATACAAAATTTAATGTTTATGATTGTTAAAACCACAAAAATTTTAAGCTGAAGTTTGAAAGTGAGCCAAAGCCACCCGTGTTTACGGTACTAATATAATACTACATTTTATACCAAATTTGTTCAATGCCGAATATCGCGGATTTTTAAGAAAAATTTTAATTTTCAGTATAAAAATTTTTAATTTTTAACTCGCCAATCTGAAATTTTTAGTTGCGCTGCCTAATTTTTTTTTAACATGTCCATTGGTTAGACTAGTGCACATTGATCTGAAAGGTAAATTTACGCGGCAAAAACCCAATTTTTAAAACTTTAAAAACGTATTTTTATACCTCTGTATTGTTTTTGACAGATTACCTAAGATTTTAAATTGCGAAGTAAAAGTTACTGCGCATGCGTTGCGTTATAACAAATACATACATACATAAATACATACATCAAATATAATATTACTTTCAGAATCTTGGCTTTTTGTGTTAAAAAAAGGTGTTGCGTAAATATAGTTCTGAAAATTGGTGTCAAAAATTTATAGTAGGAATGAAGGTGATTACAAATAAAACTCTTAAATGTCTTTTTTGGATTATTTGTTAAAAATATAGCGGTTTTTAACCTACAAATTCTCAAGTTTGTGCAATTTTAAATAATAAATGAAATGTTAAAAGTTAAAATTTATAATTACTTGCCCAAAACCACCTAGAACATTCGAAAATATGAACCTCCAGTTCCGACTTTTTAAACATTTATCTGCCTTTTTGCGCCTATAAGGGAGTTATGCAAAAATAAAAAAGGTCGACAAAAATTACCGCCAACTTGGTCATAAAAGTAATATATTTTTCAAATTTGACAATAATTATTGTATTCATGAATAGTAATACTTTTTTTACTCCTATTACATAATATTGTTTTTTTAATATAATTTGTATATTATACAGTGTGTCCACGAAACGGGTTGACAAAAGAAAAAACTTTTTTATTATGTTACAAAAAAAAACATTTTTCATAAAAACTCCTGCTTGTTTCAAAAACATGATTCCTATACAAACATTTTGAATTAAATGTACAGGGCTCAGAAACTAAGAAAACCTAAAAACCTACAATTGCGTTTTATGGAAAATGAATTTTTTCAGGGTGCTCAGAAATGAAAATATATATATTTATATATATACAGTGTGTCCACGGATGGACTTCACTATACTTACTAAATATTTATTTTCAACATTTTGAGGAAAAGTTATTTTTCATAATTTTCTTTTGATTGTTATATAAATGCGATTCGCGTTGAGAAACATCCATTTTGTTGTACAGGGTGAGCAAAAACTTCAAAATTAAAAAAAATTAAGTATTTTTTTTTGGAGCGCTGATAAAAATTTAGCACCCTTAAAAACATAAAAAAGTCAAGTTGTGAAAAATATTTAAAGTATAATTTTTTCTGCGTAAATTTACCTCTCAGACCATTTTAAAAGTTGTTTGTAAAAAAAAATCCTATTTTTCGCCCTTCTTAAAGAATGTACCATTTTAGACTGGATATATCCCATAATTCTGAATCGGGCACTGAAAACGACTTGCCGCCCTTATCGAACCCAGTGTCCGCCACCAGAGTGTTATGTGGCGCCCTATTGATGCCCACAATTGCAAATATTTTCGGTAAATTTTTCTTCGATTCGGTTAAGTCAAACTTCCACAAAACCGTGCTTGGCGGTTTTGCCTTCATAGCAATCAAAGGCTGTCTGAAAATTTACCACAAACAGCAGCAGTACATCAGACAGTGCCAGCGCAAAATTCTCGACTACACCGAACATAACATTTCCACTTATTTGCACAACAGACGAGATGAATAGATTGTATATAGATTTGATGAATAAAAAATGATTTCCTTCATGATTATATGGTATTTGTACATTTACTAGACTAATGAGTTTTTTGGAAAATTTTGTTGAACGTTCTGAAATAGCGAGTTTACATATTATTGTTGTTTATTTTTACAATAAAACATTATTTTGAAAATATACAATTTTGTTCATATTTACCTATCAGGAGTACATTATATCTATATTTCCATACAGGGGAGTTTTTCTTGAAATTTACAACTTTATTTTCTATAGAAAATGATTTCTATAGAAAGCATGGCATTCTCCTATAGAAAGTAAACTCTTAAATTTCAAGTTGCAAATAATAACAGCACATAAATAATAAAACATTTTTAATATATAAAAAAATAATTCACTTCCTCTTCTTTTTCCTATCAATAGCATTAAGTTCACTTTGTTGAATATTCGCTTCAGAGAAGATTCTTTTAACTTTGTCTTTTCTTTCCTTATCACTATAAAAAAAAATTAAAAATTTAACAAATATACCAGTAGTGAAAAATAATAACAAACCTTTGTAATTTCTGAGATATTTTAACCCTTCCAAGGAAAGATTTGTCTCTTCTAATTTCTCTAAGGGCTCCTTTCTGTTCTTTTTTAAGTTTGTGGAGCATTTTATCCCTTGCAGCCTTTTCTCTGGATTGTACTTTGAATTTCTTACCATCATAGCTATAAAATATATATTTTGGCTTTAAAAAAAAATAATTAAAAATTAAAAACTTACATTTCCACAATTTTAGGTTCATACAGCCTTAATGCCTTGGGTTTTTTGGCCTCCATGACAATAAATTCCAATTTTCTCTCTTTTCTATTATTTTCCAGTAATTTTTCCAAAGAAAGCTTAGCTTCCTTTACAACCTTAGGATATTTATCAACTTTAACTAACTTAAGGTAATTTGCAATACCTTGAAATATCTCCACATTGCTTGACAAGTCTTTTAAATTATTTACAAATTCCTCAATCAACTTTACAGTGTTATAAAAAGCCCTTACTTGAAAGTCCTCTGTAATCTCACTACTATCCAATAAATCTGCACTACTTAATTTCAAATTATCATACGTTTTTTTACTTTTATCCTCAACTAAAACTAAATGTGAAGACGTTGATTTAAACGGTGGGGAAACTTTAATTAATTTAACACTTGTTTTGGGTATGGTCATATGTAAAATACCGCCCAAAAAATTAACAACAGCTGGTAAGTATCTTTTAGATAAAGATGTATACTCCAAAATTAACGTACACAAAAACAAACCATACGAAATGTCAATTTGAGTTTGAACTTTACATTTGTTGAGCATTTGCTCCATAAAAATAAAACATGGTGTTATAACTTGATGTCGAAAATCTGATGTGGAAAATAAAATACTGACCAATTTAAAAAACAAGAGCAACTCAAGGCCTGGGTATTTCTTGGGCGACTTTTTGTATTCTTCATGCTTTTCTTTCAAAACTTCTCTTAAAGAATTATGAGCATTATCAGGATTCAACTGGGCTAACTCATAGATTTGAGGTACTATAGCATTAAAAATATTGAAGCATTCTTTAATTGATTTAGCATTGGTTGCTTCTGAACCAATATCGTTTAAATGTTGTAGAATATAGGCAAATAAAACTCCTAAATTTTCCTTATTGCCCGCTGATAGACTGGGGTGATTACATTTTATCATTCTTTCTAGAATTACACATTGATGATTGCTAGACTGATTTTCAAAAGTCTTTTGAAGATCTTCATAAGAATCAGGCAATGAGAAGGTAAATGGTAGCTCATTACGCGCTTTTTCCATTATTTCCTTGCGTTTTTGAAGATCATCCTGAATCATTTCTTTTGTATTAAAAGTTTCTTCTTTGGGGAGTATTATGGTGTCATTCTTTCTTGCCTCTTCCTTAAATTTTTCTGTAATTTTGCCCAATTTTTTTACTGTTTGTGTTTTAGGTTTTTCATCTTCCAAATCTTCGTTTTCGCCGTCGCTTTCTTTCAGATCTGATAGATTATCTGGCTCTTCTTCAGATTCTTCTTCTTGATCTTCTTCCTCACCCTCTGCTTCTTCTTCATCTCCTTCATCATTTTCTTCATCAGAGTTATCTTCATTATCTCCAATACTCTTTCCATTAATAGTCGCGTCTACTTTAACATTGGATTCTCCTTCATTATTGTAGGAAAGCATATATTCTGGATCTGATTCATAAACAAAATCATCATCCAAATCATCGGCGCTTCTATGAGTTGGTTTATTCGATTTTTCCTCCACAAAACCTTGCATTCTATCCAGTCTTTCTTTTTCCAGTTTTTCCAACTTTTCTTTTTCTTCTTTCGCGATCTCGTCTTCAGTTTTGAGCCTGTCTGAAACTGTACCGCGTGCTTCGAAACGGAGTTCCCTCATTACTTTGTCATAGTCATCAACTTTTGGTGTTGATTCTTTGTCTCTGTCTTCTTCTGTTTTTTTGTTTTTGTTGATAAGGGGCATTAAGTCTTTCCATTCAGAGTCCAATTTTTCTGTTAGTTCTAAGGTTGCTTCCTTGGTTTTTTGTTTTTCTGCTTTACGTTTTTTAGATTCAGCAATAAGTTGGTCGATAAGTTCTTTGTGTGTTTTAGCACCTTCTTTGCCAGTTTTTCTAAATAGACCACCACCAAAATGAGCGTCACCAACGAAATCTTTCTCCAAATTTCCCGATTTTTGTTCGTAGTCATTATCTTCATCATCCGATCTGGGGTCTTCAAATTTTTCGATTTCACTCAATGTCTGCCCTTTGTGAGTTAAAACTTCATCGTCAGCCAAATTAAAAATCGATTTTTTATTGTGTGCTTTCACTCTAACAGCTGAAAACCTTGCCATTACTTTGTCCTCTTCCGTCATATTTTTATTTCGCTCCCCGATACGCTTATCCATAAACTTATTTGACTTATTCGCCACTTTATACTCCTGTAGTAAAGTGTGTTTACGTTTTTCTATCGCTTTGGCACGCGATACACCTGGCAAACCCCTATCGTTCTTGTTTTTTTTACCCAAAACCCTCATTTTTTCCTTATTTACATGAATCTCGAAAGGATTCATGGATTTTTTCGCTTGCATTGCTTCTTTCCGTCCGTGGACTTGATCCGCCGTTTTGCGCTTCTTGTTTTTTATCTTTGCCATCGTTTTTAACTTACACAAACACAAAAAACTGAATTACAGGGACACGCACGTGAAAATAGTTGGGTTAGGACACTTGAACTACTGTCTATGTGAAAATTGTATCAGAGTATAGTAGGTTAAATAAACCAACGTTGCCAAGTGTACAATAAATAGCAGGAGTCTGGAACGAGTCAAAAGTTAGAAAAAAAGTTAACAAAAACTAACCATGGTGGGATGCTAAGGACCATCCATGCGTTATAAAACAGTTTCAAGTTAAATCCCAGCATATTCATTTTTTAAGTTATTGCCATTTTGTTTTTATTATAATATTTTAAAATTAAATTTATAATTATAAATTTAATTTTAAAATATCGTAATATCGTAATTTATTAGGACACAGGTCTTATTATTAAAAAATAGCAACTTTTAATAATATTATAGGTTACTAAACTTGCTAATACTGCTTTATTACATTGGAAGAACTCAGGAATTTTAACTTAGAGATACAACATAAAACAAAAACTTACGGCGACAAAAAAAATTTGTTTCTTTAAATAAAGACAAACAACAAGCCAAATTTTGTAACAAAGTTATTAACATGTCTTCTTTTATAAAGATGATAACTTGTGCGTCTTGCAGAAATATTTTCTTCCAGAATTGCATAGGTATAATGCAAGTCATAGTAAATCACGTCTTCTGGAATGGTTTAGTACTTACCTGTTTTGGGAAGAGAGCAAGCGTTGGCATGGCCCAAAAAATTTAATTTTAAAGCAGTATTATAGAGAAATATTCGAGGGCAACGCATGTCGTATGATGCCGAAAAATAGTGACATTTTATTATCCAAAGATATCCTTATACAGATATCTTTATAAAGAAAAAAGCCCCCTGACAGTGATGCGATTTATTTCGTTTTTTAAATCATTGAACAAATTATTCCAAATGTACCTACTTTTCAACAAAAACACCTGACCTTAATACTTTAAAAACTGATATAGAAGAATTCAAAAAAATGTTTTTAGCCACAGAGGTTTCTTAAAATTCACGTGTTAATTAACCATTTAGAAGAATGCCTTCATTAAGTACACTCCTTAGGAACCTGGCCTGAACAAGCAGCGTGAATTTATTAAGTGATTTAAATTTGAATTTAATGAAAATTTAAATCATAGAACAGTATAATTCTCAGGTGACGATTTATTAAACATCATAGTCCTAAACCAACTGTATAAATTTAAGTTTTTTTTTAAGGAAAAGTCAATATATTGAGGTTAGTCTTGTTTTAAGTCTTAAAGATGCATATTGTTTTATCTATATATAATTGGGGTAAAAATTGTACAGTTTAAGCCTTAAACTGTACAATTTCTACCCCAATTATATATAGATAGAACAATATGCATCTTTAAGACTTAAAACAAGACTAACCTCAATTAAAAAAAAAATGCAGATAGAATTCTCAGGTGACGAAATATTTTCATAAATTGTTTCTGTTGTGTCATTTTTAATGTAATTTTGAATAAAAATTAAGTAAAGGCAAAATGAAACCGAATATAAAAAATAGTACAAAAAATTAAAACTAAAAAGGCCTTCTTACCTTAAAATTTTATCATAATCCCAATATTAAAAAAAAAATAATATATTACTATACTATAGTAACACATTAAAAACAAAAAAAACACAAAAACATGAGTCAGAAAAAGGATCATACGGGATTTCCGTAAAACAATACCCTACTGTTGGTTTTGGTTGTCATTTTTTTTTACTTTTGACCTGCATAGAAAAGAGATTTATAATAAAAACAAGTATATTAAATTTCATTTATTACTTAATATGGTTTAGTTAGTAAAATATATGATTTAATCATAAATAGATAAAGAAAATGGCGTACAAAAAGTGTACATGAAAACAGTAAATAATAGTTTAAATTATTTTATACAAACTATATAAATTAGGATTACTAATCGTTGGTAATCTCAATTTTTAGAGGACTTCTGTGGTCAACTTTAGCACTTAACCTACTTTTAACATCTTTGCCACTGTTAAAACCGGGCCTTTCGCGTGGATCGACAGTTCGGGGATTCACTCGAATTTCTTCGGAATCGCTCGATTCGCTGCCGGAAGAAGACGAAGTCGAAGAGGATTCCTCTTCCGATTCGCTGGACTCGCTTTCACTTTCGTTCGGTTTTTTGACGCGAGACCATATCGTAGACGCCACCGCCGGTTTCTTTTGCGTTTTTATAACCACAGCCACTTTACTTTTAGGTTTGTGACCGAAGTTTTCCTCTTCTTCATCGGGCGAGTAATTTCTTCTGTGCCTTCGAACTTCGCGATCCCTCTCTTCTTTTATGCGGCGGTACGAGTACAAGCCTTGACGTTCGGGACTTTTACTTCTGCTTCTTCTTCTGCGGGCAAACGTTATCGGCGATCTTCTTCGTCTTACAACTAGCGGGGATCTTTGGCGATGCACCGGTGACCTTGATCTTCTCCTTGGCGATTCGGCTCTTCTCCTGCCGATTAGAGTGCGCGCGTCCGGCCTCGAATCTTCCCTTTCCATCATGTAGTTCTCGATTTCGTCCATATGGCGATTCAAGGCTAATATCATGGATTTGCTGCGGTTTTTCAGGCGTAAACCTAAATCTTCTTGTCGATCGTCGTGCGCTGTTTCTTCTTCAAGGCGGTCCATTATCGTTCTTTTGTTCGTAACACCGAGCACATTGCGCAGGTCCGATCTATCTTCATCCAGCTTTTCCGTTTGCTTTTTCAGGGTTTGTATCAGTTTTTTCCGTTTTTGTTTTTCTTCTTCTTCATCGGCGTACATGCGCATGCGCGGGATTTTAGACTTTACTGACGATTTGTCTTCTTCTTCAACCTCTTCGCCTTCGCTACTGATTTCAACTGATTTCTCCACCACTTCTTCCACAACGGATTTTTTTCCTAAACGTTTTAGAATGTTGGGATTTTTTATTTCCATTTTTGGTGCAGACACGTCGTCTTCTATATCAATTACTGGTACCTTTTCACGAAAATTAGCATCTTCATCCCAGTTTCTGGCCAAAATGCCCCAGGGATTTTTATCGTCCTTCAACTCTTTATTTCTCTCGAAAATCCCTTTTTTTGGAACTTTATTTCTTTTACTATGTGGTTTGGGAACAATATACTTACTAAATTTCTCCGTTCTAAACGCTTGCCTATCAGTTTTAAATGCAAATCGTAACAGTATACACTTACTCTTTGGATGTCTAGTACCTAACCTCCAAAACCCAGGTGGTACTGATATGGTTATTTCTTCAATATCCACAGCATTTTTATAGTCAATTTTCCCCATAAAATCATCATCCTCATCCAAAGCAATCTCCCTATTAGAATTTATCATTAAATCATCAGATTCATCTTCAAGTAAGTCAAATTTTTTAGCTAAAGCTGCCCGAACTGGCATACCTTTTACAACTCTTGAAGAATGATATAAAGCCCTTGCAGCACTTATTTTATCCACCCACAAAACATTACAACTGTCCATGTCGATCCATTCTATGGAATCAGGTGCATACTTATGAAAATACTCTAGAATGTCATCTGTGGTCATTTGGTCTGTGCCAAGCATATGCACTGCTTTAAAACGCACTACAGAATTATTTTCCCCCGTTATTCCCAGTGTATAGTGCAATTGTTGTAAATCTTCTTCTGAAAATGTGTTTATTTCATCAGGTTTTAATGCAAACCTTTTGGCCCGTTCAATTAACTTCTCTTGCTCCTGTTTGTCAAATATGTTTATCCCCGTGGTAAACACCGCCTTAGAACCACCCCAATCCTAAAAGAAACCCCCTAATTACAACACGTCTCCCAAATAAATAACCTTAAACTAACCTCTGTTGTTGTGTTTATATCCGTTTCAGTGTCGTCCAATATTTCACCTTCTTCATTTTCACTTAGTATTTCCTTGTCCACCTCCATCGATTCCACCAAATTATTGTGTATTTCCACACGTATATTTGGACGCATTTTGTCCGCCATTTTTATAAATACACACAAATGTCAAATTTTTGGGTTACAAAACATGCACTAATTAGTGACTAATATCAAGATAAAACCAACTAATAATAATCATTTAACAGTAATTACCTATAGAATTCATAATTAATTATTATTTATTTAATATGCCTGTTTATTTACGTGGAAATAAAGAAAAACTGGTGGTATATTTAAGCTACCGTAGTTCCAATGTGTCATTATAGTTAAGTTGGCAGCTTTGCTGTTTGACAGTATTATTCTAGGTTAGGTAGCTGTTTAAAAATTCCAGTATGTACGCTAAAGAACATGATACTTTTATGGTAAAAACCCGTAAGTACCAACAAATTTAGCTAACTAAACCATAATTTCTCATAGAACGGGGCCCGTCATGCCCTAAATCTCCCCATAAGGCAAAAATGCGCCGAATTGACTGTTCTGTTGGACAGGGGCAATATTTTGGAGCTTCATAATTTTTTTCCCATTTTAATTAACCATATATTCGGCCCGCAAGGCACTATATGTTGGGAAATAAGAACAATAACGGAGTCTAGCAGCGATGATTTTCGCCAGATGCAGCATTTTTTATCGCCTAATGGACCAGTTTTTAAATTAATTTATACATTGTTGAAGGATCCAGCTATCAAGTATGATTTTTCCTTAACATTTTTACCAGTAAGTACATTAATATTGATTAAAATAATATAGAAAAAGTATATAAATTGCAAATTTTATTTTTAGACCAAAATTAGGCAGTTTTTAGAGAATTCACAAAATCACCCTTTTTATTCAGATCTGATTCATATTAATCCACAAACTAAACAAGTTATGTCACTATTACTAAGTAAGTATAGAAATAGAATAGATTTTTTTAAGTTTGAACTAAAAATTACAAAATATCTTGATTAAATTTCTTATTTTTGTGTAATCTGTTCTTTTAAAAACAGCAGTTTCAACAAAACTTCAGGTTTATATTTTGGAAAATATATATTTTTGTTAAATGAAATTATGTAGTTAAACTAGTTACTTATTACTTAAAAATAATTAACTTTATCTAATTAAAAATGATAATGGCTTGGATAATGGATACCTATTTTACAATAAACTAAATTTATACATTATAATTATGTTGTTTTAAAATTAAATTAAAACTAATGGTGGATTTATGCAGCAGAACTTAACATTAAGATTAATTTAACCAATAGGAGGGTATAATGGGCTTAATGTTAATGTGTTGCATAAATGCTTCCATAGTATTACCACAATCCACACAACATGTGTGGATTGTGAGTATTACATTCATTTTAACTTTTTAATGTTAATCTTAATGTTAATGTTAATCTTAACTTAATGTTAATTTGTTCTGCATAAATCCACCATAAAATAAAAATTATAAATATTAGTACTAAAAGTATATTTTTAGATCCTTTTGATTATTACATGTTTCACTTTGCCTATCATTTAATAAATCCATGGCATCAACGAAGTGGATCAACTGTCAGATCATGGAACACAATTTACTATGTTTTATGTTGCGACTACATTTTATACTTTTTGCCAACTGATCCAAATGCTACAATTTTGCCTAATATTTGCTACAATGGCAAAAGTCCTGTACAAAATCACCAACCAATCAACAAGTTAGATAAATAAATACAACTATAAAAATATATCATAATTTTTGTTAAATTTTAGTTATAGAATCATTGGGACAGGTTTAATAAATACAACAGTTCTAAATAAGAGTGTTGATGAAACTCTACACAAAAACTTGGAAAGACATCCCAGAAATGAAATTTGGAGAAGTGAAACAGTTTTAACGGTTTTTGTGGATATGTGGTTACATAATGATCAAATTACTCAGCAGTCGAATGATTTAAATAACTCACTTAATGGATCTCCAAGAATGGTAGTGTATTCACAAAATAAGTTTTTTTTTACATTTTATGTACCTAATAATTGTATTTTTAAAAATTTAAAGATTTAACATTACTTCACACAATCATGTTTTTACTAAGAACTCAAAATGTTTCATCTAGTGAACAGGCTATAGCTGTTTTAATTTTAGGGTGTTCTTCTTTTAAATGAACTCCCAACTGGCGAATACATGAGGATAGTGCGTGTACTAATGAAACAATTGCACGCTTTTTCTCAAAGCTCCAAAGCTGATGATACCAATTTGTGCGAGTTAAAAAAAATCGCGATTCCCATGATCCAGGGTAAATTTTACATATTTTTGCGTAACTTAATACACAAATGGCCGCTGGACGGTTCGTTTAGACTGGTTTTGGAATTATGGTTGACTTATATACAACCGTGGAGATATCCTCCGGATAATTTGGTCAAACAGAAGTAGGTTGCATGTTTGTTTTTTTTTCTTTATGATTTATTTGTTGTTTATTTTTAGCAATATGTTCAGTTTAAATCAGGATGTGGAGGATTTGAATCAGTATAATTCTGTGGATACGGATTTTTTGCCTTTTATCGCGGAAAATCTTTTGGCTTATGTTGTTATTTTTCAACAATTATTACCCAGGTTTACAAGGGTTGATTTGGTTAGCCCCAAAATGTCTTTGATGCTATATAGAATTACCAAGGTAGCTAAAAAAAATCATTAATCAGAGTGGCAAATAATGCATTATTTTTCTAATGCATTAAGGTTTCAATACTCATTATTAAAATATTGAGTAATGAGTTTAATTTTAATTACATTTTTTCAAATGAGTAATGTATTCTCTTTTACATTACTCATTTTTAATTTGTAATGAGTAATAATTTAAGATTTTCAGGGCTCTCACACTTTCTGCCCGTGTAGTGTATACTATTTTTCTTGCTACCCGGCAGAAAATACGGGAAAAAATTAAATGTGTATAAAAAAACTTGTGTCAAAATTAAAATCTGACGTTTAATTTAATTCTGACGTTTACATTCAAAATCAATCAAACTGTAGCGTTGTCATGGTAGCGGGAGAAAATGAAACTTTTCTTACTACCTCGGCCGAAAATACGTATAGCCTTGACCAATTCATAAAACGTAAACTTTCTGCCGTGGAATCGGGGACGAAACAACGTATTTTCTGCCGGGTAGCAAGAAAATATTTTTAAAGCCCATTTATTCATTTAATAATAAAAAACCGTTCCAAAAATTTTAGGGATTTTTTTTAACTAATTTAAAAATATGCCTTGAAAGACCGTATTTTTGTTAGTATACCCTGAAAATTTTGTACAAATCAAACGAACAGTAACGAAGATACAGCGCTTCAAAGTCGGTAAAAATTACCCCTTTTTGATTATATTGCTGAAAAATGGTAATTTTTGACGACTTTGAAGCGTTGTATTTTTGTTACTGTTCGTTTGGTTTTTATAAAATTTTTAGGGTATACTAACAAAAATACGGTCTTTCACAGCATATTTTTAATTTAGTTAAAAAAATTCCCTAAAATTTTTGGAACGTTTTTTTATTATTAAATAAATGGGCTTTAAAAATATTTTCTCGAAAAACCCTTGAACACTTAAACTGAGATGTAAGTTGAAGTATTTTTATACAAAATTTCATAAAGATTGGTAAAGGCGCTTTAGAGTTAATTTTTTTTACTTATTATGCGTTAATTTTGACGCCAGTGTATCTGAAAATTTTAGAAATTTTAAAAATTTCTCGCAACATTTAAAAATTGTATGTTACTGCAACCAACATTATAATGTTTAAATGTATGCCATTCCGTATTTGACCCACTATTGTTAATTTTAAGGGACTGTCTACGTGTCCTACTAGTAGGATTTATAGCCTGTTCGCTAAATATCCGACTATAGTTTATATAATAGGACAAATAGTAGTAAGGCTAAATATACTACTATTATTCAGAATTCGGCAAAAACAACACTCAAAAGTGAGGTTAGTTTAGGTTTTTACACCATTTGTTTGACTGCAATAATTAAATTATAATGGATTGCAACGTTGGAGAGAAATTCAATTCCTTTTTCGAGATACAGACATTTATAAAGAAGTATGAAGATCAAAACTTTGTCAATTATTATTTGTACGTTGTACGTGAAAAATCCTATTTCCACGTCTGAGGCGGACGTTGCCCTGCGTTTTTTCATTAGTTTTATGGGTGTGGGGCTGTTTTGTGCTTTTATTTACTTTTTAATGTAACTGTGGTTACGCAGGTACACTGCATTGTGCCATACCAAACCAACCCAAACTTAACAACCTAACCCAACTGACCCTGCCCTTAGATATATTATACCTCTATTGCTCAATGGGGAGGGAGGGCCCAATGGGGCGGGGTCGGTTGGGTTGGGTTGTTAAGTTTGGGTTGGTTTGGTATGGCACAATGTAGTGTACCTGCATAACCAAGATGACAGCTAATCATCATAACCTTGGCAATAAAATTTTTTCCCCAATTTTTCCGGTTTTTTTTCGACACTTTAAAATCCTAATCTCTATAATGGAATTAAATGACCACTGATTGATGATTTATTATAAATTAAATTAAGAGTGGATGTGTTATTTTACATTCAATATATATTTAAATAAAAGATTTTGTCCCCCTGTTCTAATATGTTAGAACATATAGAATATAAATGTTTTCATTTATTTAAATAATATTAAGGATGATTAAAATAATGTTTAAATTACAAATTATTTGGTAAAAACCCCAATGTGAATAATCAAAGACAGGTTTTATATTCCGAATAGGGAGCCTTAAGGCTCCCTTTAGTTCTTTTTTTAAACTAAAACTAACACAAACTTAGTTAGCTGGCTTAATTTTTTTCTTATTTGATATCATGGTTTATGAAATACGCTGAATGGTAGGATATTTAGCTTTGGTACTATTTGTCCTATTAGTAGGATATTTAGCGAACTGGCTATACATCCTACTAGTAGGATACGTAGACAGTCCCTAATTTTAAGTACTGTGTCCTACCACTTTTAAATTTATGCATATAAGGGCAGTTTTCAATAATACAATTTATTTCGAAAATCCACACAACAAGGTCTATTTTATCTCTTTTCACACATACTAAAAATCCAACCATTTTACTCCTCTTTTGGGAAAAATAATCCTCATTCTATCAGGGCAGTCATCAAACTGCGAAATTATCTTATCATAACCCACAAATTTAAATTTGACAGTTGATGACATCCATAGAATAGAAGGTTTATTTTTTTTACAAGAGAAGTAAAATGGTTGTCCTTAGCACTTTAAGGCCTCATTTGAGGCATACAAGTGCCTCTGTAGGAAGCACAACGTTAAAAACTATTGTAATCTGTATAAACCGCACAAACCCAAAGCACAAGAATTGTCAACAACATAAAAATGGCCGCCGTTAGATTCTGTGCAGTGTTGCAGTGATTTTTAGTATGCGCGAAACAAGATAGAACAGATCACAATCCACACAACAAGGTCTGTTCTATCTCATGCTAAAAATACTAAAAATCACTACAACACTGCACAGAGTTTAACGGCGGCCATTTTTGTTGTTTACAATTCTTGTGCTTTGGGTTTGTGCTGTTTAATAATTGTTTTAAACGTTGTGTTTCTTACAGAGGCACTTGTAAGCCTCTAATAAGGCCTTTAAGTGCTAAGGACAACCATTTTACTCCTCTTTTATAATAAATATACCTTATTCTATCAGGGCTGTCCAATGATAATTTAAAGGTTAATTTTTGGGTTATAATTTAACCTAAAAATTGACATTTGACAGCTATGATAGAATAAAGTTTATTTTTTACAATAGTGGAGTAAAATGGTTGTTCTTAGCACTTTAAGGACTCTTTTAAGGCTTACTATGAGAAACACAACGTTTAAAACGATTATTAATCTGTATAAACAGAGCACAAACCCAAAGCACAAAAATTGTAAACAACAATTTTAGTTGGAAACCTGACAAATTTAATTTAATTATCTTAAAATATGTCATTTAAAGGTTAAATTCTGATACCCATAACTTTGACCTTTCTTTTAGGTCTTTGATCAGCCAAACCTGCCGACTTACCTCCAGGAAATCGAAAATTGCGTGGAAAACAACCATTCCCCCACCCACCACAAATACAACTCTCACTGGGGCAGCAACCTCCCCCCTCTATCGCCCACAAGCAATTGGTCCAGCAACACCGCCCTTAACCAATTAAACGCCTCAGCTGACTCTTCCAGAGCCTTCCAACCCAGCGTCAACAGCACCGCCTTCTTGAACAACAGCTTCCAGAACGAGAAAAAGTGGCTGGCGATCGTCAGACAGAAGATTTTCGAGCTGGAAGGTCCGAATTTTTGCTACAAACCGCTGTTCAGTAACCCACCAGCTCCCGAAGTGTTCGACTTGATCTACCAGATCAAGAAAAGCATTTCCGTTGCTCAGGATATTGTCAAAGCCAAGCAATTAGAAGAAGATGAATTGTCCAAAGGTTTATGGGGGTCGATTAAAAGCCTATGGACCTCACCATGCAATGTTGATGAGTTTAGTCTCGCTGAAAGGATGAAAGTTCCGTGTTTTTTGGATGTTTCCTTGCAGAATTTGATGGATATTTTTCAGATTAATGAGGTATGTTGCATTATACGCTAAAAAAGTATCGCTAGTAGCGCCACCACTCGGCTGTTATCATCGTAACAAAATTAAAACTCCGCTGTCAAACGCTTATGTTACAAACGAGTATTTTTGAGAATGAAGCCGGAAAATGTTAAGAAATATCGAAAAAAACCGTGGCACGATTTGTTGTGTTGTTGGGTGTATTTCGAGAGGAAATCCTGGGTTGAGTTTTTACCGGTTTTCCAATAAACAGTGTTAATCTGAACGGAGAAATAAATTGCACACAGTCTCTTTAAATATAAATTGTACTTATTAGATACAATAAATACACATTTTAGTAGTGATTAACGTGAAAAGTGTAAATTTCAATTCAGTAAAAATCGTCAAACAAATAAGTCGTCTAAATTTAAACAGCATTTAGCATTATTAAAAGCGTTGATTAAGAAAGTCTCCACTCAACGGTAAAATACCATTATATTATGTATTGTACCTATATAATATTATGTTCCCATGAATTCGTAGGTATATTTTGTTGTTTAAAATGCAGTTGTCGGAGTTTTTTAGAGAACTCAAATATAAAAATGGTTGATTTTAAGGTTATGTTTGTGCAAAAATTATTTCTTACTAATTTCTTAAAAACTTAAATATAAATTATATTAGGTAAAGTTATCATTAGTTAATTCTGCACCAACAATTGTACTTACCGAATTGGATCCTTTGGCAAAACATTTGAATTTTATTTACAATTAAAAACACAGTAATTCACCATGATCCCTTTGATAAAATACACACACTAACGTAATGTCAATGATATAAGGAATAATCAATCGAAATCGAGTACTAAAAAAGTTTTTTAATTTTTAAAACACAAAAAATGTGCGAAACTTAGCTGTGCAATTGAACAAAGTTTGTTGAGTAAGACTTCTGCCTTCCTCTCTTTTGTTAAAAAAACTACATATTTATTTAAAAATGATGTATAATCTGTGCTTTAAATGTATTGTTGACAAGTCTTAAATTCACGGAATGCTATCGAAGTCCACCAGATGGCGCGCGCGTTGCAAAAACCCGATACTTCTTTAGCGTATAATTCTTTCTAACAAAATGTTTTATGTATTTTTTTAGGTTTGCGACAGAGAACCAGATTACTCTCAAAATAAACCCTCAACAAGTGGCCCTATAGAATTCACAAACGATTTCAAGTTTTTAACACCCGAAAAAGTGAGAAACAGAATCAAAAACATTAAATATGATGGGGATCCGGATTTGTTACCCATAAGAAGTGATGAGAACACTTTTCTAGTCAGAACTCTCTATCAATTGGCTCTTAAAATCAACCAACAAGTAAGTAGTTTGGTATATTTCATCCATTCCAGGAAATGCATAATTATAAATGATACTTTTTCATTATATTTCAACTAATTAACCGAAGAAAACAATGAATTTTGTTGTCGCCATTCTTCCCTTTTCCCACAGCTAATAGAGCTACAATAAAAAATGTTTTTTTTGTAGTATGGTTCCTTATTATACCGTATGTATCATACACATACGTTTTCTGGAAGATTGACGCGGCAAATTTTGTGCCCCCCACAAACGGTATACAAGTTTGATAAGTCCCTCCCTGGATCTCCAAGAGTTAGTACCAATCTTCCTCCCAGGGTGAGCTTCAGATCTCTGGCAAGCTACAAATTTTTAATCTACTTCACAATATTCGCCATGGTTTGTATGGCATGTGGTTTTAGTTTTACGGCATATATTTGTTTATTATTAATTTTGTTTTTGTCTTTTAAATGTATGATGGCTATACCTTGCACTAATACACCTGTAAGTCATAATTATCCAACCCAAGGTTTTGGGAATATTAGTTTCAATGATTCTTTTTAATTTAAGCAAAAAAAAATATTTATAGTTGTGTAAGAATAAAATGAGATGGAAGGCTAAGTTTTTTAATATTTTCAATGTTTTTGTTATATTTATTAAAATAAATATTGTACAACATCTATCAGATTTTATTTACTATTTCTACATTTACATTACTTTAATCTTGTGTTTCTTCTGTTATATTTCCAAGCAATTTTTTTGATGGTGATGAGTAATTTTGATTTTCATTATCACCCTGAAATGTATCAAACAATTAAAATTATGTTTTAAAAAAAAATAAAACCTATACTTTGATGGACTTAGATATAGGACAATACTTACAAATTCCAACTTAAAAAATTCACTATCCTCAGCATCACTGCTATCCTCCTCATCTGAATTTTCAGCTTTCTGCAAAAACAATTTAACTTTTCTCATGCTTTTTAAAGAGCTCAAACTGGAAGATCTTGTAGGCTTGTAAGACGAAAAAGTAGCAAAAATATCCTCAGGAACTGGTGGTAAATTCGCTATATTATTTAGATCTATCAAAGATTCTCTTGACAAATTTTCCGGATATTTTTCATCGACATCAGATTTAACACTTTTACTGCTGGTGCTGTGTAAATTCTGTATATGTGTGTCTGATAACTTTTGCCTAGTTTCAAGATTCTTTATTTTTTCGGACAGTTGTGACAAACTATTATAATCAGAATCGATATCTTTTATGTCCTCAATTTCATTTAACTGTTTTTCAACAACCGCCAGTAGTTTTTCGTAGTCATTCCTGGTGGTACCATCACAACTCGAAATATTATTTAATATATACTTCTGTGCGTTCACCAAGGAAGTTTTTGATATCATTTGAAGTCTATTTAGGGCTCTATCAGCCCCATTAAGTACGGCTTTAAGGTAACAAACATACTTCATACCTGCTGGATATCTCTAGAAGTGAAAAGAACACTTTTTTAGTCGGAACTCTATCCATTGGCTTTTAAAATAAACCGAAAAACCCCACAAACGGTATACAAGTTTGATAAGTCCCTCCCTGGATATCTAAGAGTTAGTACCAATCTTCCCCCCAGGGTATGCTTCAGATCTCTGGGAACTACACATCTTTAACACGTTAACGGCCACGGCGGTCCCAGGGGACCGCTAATACTCTTTCCATCCAGGCCACGGCGGTCCCTAGGGACCGCCTGTCAATTTTTTGTTTAACAGTTTAACATGATTTTCTGGCCAGCGGACCGCTCGTATAAGGTATTTTAAAGCATGCATAGGACCGCTTGGCCCTGACGGCTGACGAAGATACAAGAGTTTTTTAATTATTTAATTTTTAATCTGTATTTTGACGATTTTATTTTTTAAAATGATACAAGTAAAATATCAACTTGGCCCCATAAACAAAATCACCAATAACGCCGTGGCGTTTAACGTGTTAATTTACTTCACAATTTTCGCCATGGTTTGTATGGCATGTGGTTTTAGTTTTACGGCATATATTTGTTTATTATTAATTTTGTTTTTGTATTTTAAATGTATGATGGCTATACCTTGCACTAATACACCTGTGAGTCATAATTATCCAACCCAAGGTTTTGGGAATATTAGTTTCAATGATTCTTTTTAATTTAAGCAAAAAAATATATTTATAGTTGTGTAAGAATAAAATGAGATGGAAGACTAAGTTTTTTATTATTTTCAATGTTTTTGTTATATCTACTAAAATAAATATTGTACATCTACCAGATTTTATTTACTATTTCTACATTTACATTACTTTAATCTTGTGTTTCTTCTGTTATATTTCCAAGCAATTTTTTTGATGGTGATGAGTAATTTTGATTTTCATTATCACCCTAAAATGTATCAAACAATTAAAAAGATGTTTTAAAAAAAATAGAACCTATATTTTGATGGACTTTGATATAGGACAATACTTACAAATTCCAACTTAAAAAAATCACTATCCTCAGCATCACTGCTATCCTCCTCATCTGAATTTTCAGCTTTCTGCAAAAACAATTTAACTTTTCTCATGCTTTTTAAGGAGCTCAAACTGGAAGATCTTGTAGGCTTGTAAGACGAAAAAGTAGCAAAAATATCCTCAGGAACTGGTGGTAAATTCGCTATATTATTTAGATCTATCAAAGATTCTCTTGACAAATTTTCCGGATATTTTTCATCCACATCAGATTTAACACTTTTACTGCTGGTGCTGTGTAAATTCTGTATATGTGTGTCGGATAACTTTTGCCTAGTTTCAAGATTCTTTATTTTTTCGGACAGTTGTGACAAACTATTATAATCAGAATCGATATCTTTTATGTCCTCGATTTCATTTAACTGTTTTTCAACAACTGCCAGTAGTTTTTCGTAGTCATTCCTGGTGGTACTATCACAACTCGAAATATTATTTAGTATATACTTCTGTGCGTTCACCAAGGAAGTTTTTGATATCATTTGAAGTCTATTTAGGGCTCTATCAGCCCCATTAAGTACGGCTTTAAGGTAACAAACATACTTCATACCTGCTAGATATCTTTCTTTCATATCAATACCCACTTCCGCCATTACTAAAGCCTGGTGTAACATTTTTTTATTTTGTTCAATGTCCATAACAATATTACTGTCTGAGGGCATTTTATATTTCTTAACAAAATTTTGACGTATGTCAAATAAAAAGTCTGTAAAATTAGATAAAATAGTTTATTATTAAAATACAACAGATAAACATAGACATTTGTATTGTAAAGATTTTTTATAGCAAAACTTTCAACATTTATAAAAACATTGTAAAACGGAAATACAGGGATACATATTTTTTTATAAATAGTAAGGTATTTTTAGAGCTCTTGTTTATGTAGTATTCAATCTAACTCTCGCCTATTAGAGCTAGAAGGCATTTTTTGTAGTCTCCGGAACAGTCGCCCTAAAACAAAATTATATAGAATTAATTTTAGCAATTTTCTGAATATACTAGTTATTTTTAGTGATGCAACGATTTTTAATCCTATAGGACTATAGTCTAGGTTACAGTTACAATTAAACATTCAATAATAGTTGGATTAATAAATTTATTATTTATTTATTATTATTTTGATTAAAGCTGTTTAACAAGGTTTTTATTTGGCAAAATTAGGTATCGTGATTGACTGTTTAATTCCTTAAAAATTAATAATTTAAAGCGTAACGGGCGGGACTATTACAAAGTCCCGTCCGTTACGCTTTAAATTATAAGTTTTTAAGGAATTAAACAGTCAACCACGATACCTATAGGTATAATTTTGCCAAATAAAAACCTTGTTAAACAGCTTTAGTTTAGAACTATTTATTAAAATTTTACATTGGTAATATTATTTTGTAAATAAAAACACGGCAACTGTCCTATCCGTTACGCGTGGAATGGCCCATTTTGTCTTCTAAAAGATATAAACGTTGCATCACTAGTTATTTTTATTTAAAAAAACGTGTAATGATATTATTTCTGTTTTAAATACACATGACAATAATTGTAGCTGTGACTTTATAGCGTTTTAGTCACGGACTGAAGTTTGCAATAGTGGCTTTTGGCCTTAGGAGACATCCATTAATTACGTGAGGCATTTTTCTGATAATATGCATGGACCCATCCTCTATGATCCATGATTAATATTTTTTTAACAAATTTGAATTATAATATATATTTTCAAAATATGTATTGTAGGTAATTCAAATTTGTTAAAATAATATTATTTTGAACTCAAAAGTTGACGTGAGATTTTAAATGACCCCCCCCCTCCATTAAAATGAGATTTGGTGAGATTTTGCTGGAAACCTCCCCCCATTTTTGTCTCACGTAATTAATGGATGTCCCCTTAAGCAAGCGTTTTATAAACTTCTCTGGACGCTCGTTTATTACACACTCAATCCGAAAGCTTCGCTCGTGCCTATTAATTCAATTAAAACATATTATGATATTAAAACTTTAAAAACAGATTTTGGGATATTTGAGAATACCAAAAACATTTTATATTTATATTTTAAATGTTTTAATGTTTATAATTATAATTTAAAAATGTCAAAATTTGCAGAAAAATGAAGGGCTTGTTTTTTACAAAAAAAACTTTAAAACAACGGACATTTTTGGAAAATTTGAGGACATTAGAATAAAAGGGGTATAAGTGCAGCTACCCTGTTTATCAAAAATACCTTATCTACAATATTAAAAGAACATACAATAATTTTTATTGCTAAATGTTTTAAAAACAATATTGTAGAATAGCCATTTTTGCTTAACAGGGCAGTTGCTCTTTCTTCAAAAAACCTTTTAAAAAAAGGAAATATTCAGAAAAACAATTATTAATGTGCATACATTTTAAACATTTTTATTGTTAAAACTTCTTTGAAAAAATAAAAATAATGTTTTGTCCTTTATTACTTAATATTGCAGATAATGCATTTTTGCTTAACAGATCAGCTGCCTACCCCATTTATTCTAAAACAGTTTTTTTTCAAAAAAAAATCTGAAAAATAATTATTGATGATTTTTAACATTTTTATTAACATCTATTGATAGATAGATCTATCTATTATAGTAAATGTGGACATGTTTGTGTATTTTTTATGTTCATAGTTTTAATGCAATTTTTTTGAAAAAAATCATCTTTCCCGCACCTTGCAGAAAAAGAAACAAAGAAGTTACAGTTTTTTCAAAACCTTTAAACACCAGTCAAAATAAAGGAATCATTTTAATTTGGACATATAAACCATTTCAAAACTGCGTGTTGCACTACTGTACACTACTTGCATATAAAAGCTTTTAAAAAATAATTAATAAATAAAAATACAACTTACTCTTATGGCATCAGCAAGTGGTTTTCCATATTTAGCCTGGTATTCCCTCTTGATATCCTGCATGTCAATTTCGCATCTGGCCACAACCAACCTGATCAGCTGTCTGTCGTTGGTGCCCATACCGGCCATACTTTGGTGCAATCTTTTCGCGAAGAAGGCCGCCTGGTTTTTCACGGATCTCACCACGGCCAACATGCCTTCCTCGACATCGCCGGAAAATTCGTTTTTGATGGCCTTCTCGATGTCGTGACCCGTTATTCTTTGGTACTCCTGGAATAAATAGTATAGGTAAGCTTTTAAATTGTACCACAAATATTTTCATAAATACATTATTAAAACATGTAAAAACATGTGTTGCCAGATGACTACAACAAAATGCGGCAATTTTATTGCATCAAAAAATATAAAATCCTTTTTAGAATGTCGAAAAAGGAAATGTCAAAATGCTCAATCTGAAATTCCCTAAATGGGTGTGACATACTTTATGAACAGTGCCTTATTATTTTTGATATTAGTATCCTGTTTATTGATTCGGTTAAGCTGTTTAACATAAAATAGTTTTTTAATAAAGAAAATATTTTAATACCTGTAAAAATATTAAGAAAATCTTCTTGAGAACATTGGGAAAATTGAGAATAATCACAAATAACGTTCAAGGGCCTAATCCTTTCATGCTGTTAATAAATTCTTGGGGATTTCTCGTTTTTTTCTAGTTTATTCACGTTTGTGCTCAATTTGCATTCTCAAGAAATAAATGCTTGAGCGTTTTCCATCTCATGTCCAATGGACATTATCTATTCTACCATTTTTCAGGAGAACTTATAACTTCTATATGAAGTTCTTAAAAGACAACGTTTTTTTTTTAATTTTAAGATACAATTCAGCATTTCAACAGCCATAAAAGCAAAAATTTTTGTTTATCAGAAACTAATAATAATAATAATTTTGGACAAACAGAGTTTTGAAAGACTACTCCTCATTTATAAATGTTTTTTCAAAAACATTAGACAACATATTTTATGACAAAACTATATTTAAGAATGTGAAAGCATATTAAAAATGTTAAAATAATAAATATACTTAAAATTTAATATACTAAGAGAAGTTTTAAACTTCAAGTTTAGCATTAAAGCAAATTTAAAATTATAAAAATAAATCTTAAAATAAGTGTTCATATAATTAGAATATAAAAAAAACATACTTAAACATGCCCAGAAATATAATATACCTACAGTATGTCCACGGATAGAGAGCCCAAGAGGACAAATTGACTAAAATTTTCATTTTTCCACCAAAATTTTGGTCATTCTTCATAAAAAGTTCTGCTTGTTTTGTACAAGTTTATTGTCATACTTTAAATTTGAAAATATTATACAGGGAAGTTTTTAAAAAACATTTATAAATGAGGAGTAGTCTTTCAAAACTCTGTTTGTCCAAAATTAATATTATTATTATTATTATTTTAGTCAATTTGTCCTCTTGGGCCATCTATCCGTGGACCTACTGTATATTATATTTCTGGGCATGTTTAAGAATGTTTTTTTTACATTCTAATTATATGAACACTTTGAAATTTTAAGATTTATTTTTATATTATTTTTCATCTCTATGTCCAATGGACATTGTCCAATCTACTTATTTATTCAGGAGAACTTATAACTTCTAAATAAAGTTCTTAAAAAAACGTTTTTTTTTAATTCAGCATTTCAACAGCCATAAAAGCAAAAATATTTGTTAATCAGAAAAAAATATTAATAATTATAATAATTTTGGGCAAACAGCGTTTTGTTAATAACTGTTTTTTTTAACATTAGACTACATATTTTATGACAAAACTATATTAAATTTTAAGAATGTCAAAACATATTTAAGATTATGAAAAATGTTAAAAAAATATACTTAAAATTGAATGTCAAGAGAAGGTTACAATTAGAAGCTAATTAAAAATTATAAAAAAATATAATTTTAAAGTGTTCATATAATTAGAATGTAAAAACAAACTTAAACATGCCCAGAAACATAATATATACAGGGTGTCCAGAACATAGTGTGGTTTTTGTTTCTAAAGACAAACATATAAATAAATACCTTTTTTAATACACTCAAATAAAAAATGTTATTATTTTTAAATTAAGCATAAAAACTTAAGTAAGCATACAAAATTTCAATATTTTATCTCAAACTGTTTTGGAAATAACAATAAAAAACCATCTTTGCCAACCTATATAGGTTGGCAAAGATGGTTTTTTATTGTTATTTCCAAAACAGTTTGAGATAAAATATTGAAATTTTGTATGCTTACTTAAGTTTTTATGCTTAATTTAAAAATAATAACATTTTTTATTTGAGTGTATTAAAAAGGGTATTTTTAGCCGCAAATTTGTTTTGTGCTATTTTTTTTGCAAGTTGTTTGCAGAATATAAAAAAATAGAGTTTTCTACGTAAAAAGGTACTCTTGTTAAACATACAGTGTGACCCATTTGTTTGCGACTCACCCATGTAAAATCTTTATATATTGTGCGATTTTAACCGGATTTGTTTTAAAGTGTAGATCTTGATAAACTGTATTTTTGGTGCCTAAGACGCCATATTAGTACAAAATACAAGGGCTACTATGTCAGTATTTAAGAGTAAATTTTTAAGAATTCATATTGGCGATTTTTTTAAACAAAATCTAAGCACGGCACTGGATTCACCACCCCTCAAAACGACCCTATACTAAATTTTATTGAAAAATTTTAATAATAACTACAAAAACTTATTTTGTGAAGTTATCCATAAACAAAACATTGAAATAAAATTGAACTTATAGTAATAGTACTATATGTTAACATAACATATGTTACTATTAGTTTAATTTAATTTCAATTTTTAGTTATTATTGTGCATTTTTTTTAAATTTTTCAACAAAATTTTGTATTTGAGGAGTGGTGAATCCAGTGCCGTGCTTAGATTTTGTTTAAAAAAAATCGCTAATATGAATTCTTAAAAATTTACTCTTAAAAAGTGACATAGTAGGCCTAGTATTTTGTAAAAATATGGGTTTTTTGCTTAAAAATACAGTTTATCAAGATCTACACTTTAAAACAAATCCGGTTAAAATCGCACAATAAATAAAGATTTTACAGGGGTGAGTCGCAAACAAATAGGTCACACTGTAGATAAAATGCACCATTTTCGAATAAAAATAAAATATTAAATTAAAAAAAAATCTTAATATTAAAATATTAACAAAAAATACAAATATTTCCCGTGAATACATTATTTTATCTCAAACCTTTTCAGAATTAATAATAATAATAATAAAACATTTTAAGGGGCGCTTTGCAGGTCCCTTAGGGGCCATTTGCCGACCTTTGTCCATATAAAGTTTTCTTACTATTTTCGGGACAGCCTGTATAGAATCACAAAAACATTTTAAAATATCAAATGTAGTGGTACCTGGAATATCAGCTGGAGTTGCGCGTAGTTTCTTTGGCACAAAATCATGTTGAATGTGGATTCGTCAGTGCCAACGCGCAGTTCGCCGGCACGTAAAAGGGCCTGGGCATCGGCGCTCGCCTGGCCTGGGTTTGTTTGGTAGCTCTCGTCTCGGCCAGCGTTGCACAGTGAGACCATAAGGCGCTTGAAAGTGCCGCCTGTGTCGCCTTTTAGGTCGCTTTCCAACGTTCTTCCATATTCTGGAAAATAAATAATTAATAGGGGGTAAAAGTGCAGCTGCACTGTTAAGCAAAAATGCCTCACCTACAATATTATGTAATAAAGGACAAAACATCATTTTTAAAAACAATTGTAATTGACACGATATATGGGGCAGTTAATTTTTAACATTTCGTAGTTTAAATTTTTAACTTTACGAAATATGAGAATATGACAATATTTGTTTTTAAATTGTATTAAGTGTTAGATACACTATTTATTTTGATTATTATGCTATAGTAATTTATGATTCTCATCTCAGAAAGAGATTTTATTTTTACTATTACAATCTAAGGTCACAAATATCAAGTGGTTAATTAGGTAAAAGTTAAACTATATTAAAAATAAAATAAAATAAAATTTTACTATTATTTCATCTTGTTCCTGGTAAAAGAAGAAATGAGCTTGAATTTGTATTTTATGGTTGTGGTTGGACATCCACAACTACAACCAAATTAAACATTTATTATAATCATTATTTTATTTTTATAATAATTATAAAATAAGATAAACTGTACAAAATAAAGTATGTAACATAAGATAGAAATAGATATTAAAATGCTACATTACATTACAATATAATATGTTATGTCTAAGTGAAATATAAATATAATAATTATTATTAGGTATATTTATATTTCACTTTTAAGATTTTACCTTATTAAATTAGATCAATGATACTTTTCAAATATACATAACTGTTTTTTTATATTTTTAAAGTACAGTAGCAATAATATTAACTCTTGTATTAACTGCCTTTATTAATAAACTTTTTCTTAATTTAATACTTTTTCTTCGCTTTTTAAATATCTTTTCAATTGCTCAAGTACTTACGTATCCAGAACCGTACTCACAACAAGAGGTCCAAATTTAATTTCTTTAAACAAGGCAATCATGTGTTTTAGCCAAAGGTAGTTTTTTGTGGTTTTAATATTCTTTTCTAATTATTGCTTGCCCCCTTTGTTACACAATAAAATCCCTTAATAGCTTTTTTAAGAAATCGCAAAAACGCTTTTAATGCGTCTTTTAGAATCGGCCCGTCCATAAAAAAGTACAACAAAAAAACCAGGGCGCCAAAGAGTCTGACAAACAAACAAGAAAAACAACTTGGATAACATCCAAATTTAACTATTGATTTCACTCTTATTTTTACTGCTACTTACTGGTGTGATATGCGGCTCTAATAGTCCTAATTTCATTGTTGGACATTGTACATAAAATTTCAATAAGTACATCCTCATCGGTACCTACACCGTCAATGGCATCATGAAGTTCTTTTGCGTAAAACTGTGGTAATGGAGTCATAAGGGCCACAACCAAATCCTCGAATTTTCCACTTAGTTCGCTTTTCAAATCCTTTATGAGATCCTGTAATAAATAATTTATATTGGTATAAAAAAGCGGTCTAGGTAAAAAATGTAATAAAATAGTATATTATGTATCAAGTTTGATAAACGCCATTTTAGTCACGAATTTAATTTAGGCATAAGCGAGTGCTTAATTAAATAAGTGCCTAGAAAAAACTAGTTGCATACTATACTTTTTTCACGTCAGATACTTAATATTATCTAATAAATGATTAAAATTAAATATTTTTATAAAGCGACATCTATACGAAAATAAAGTAACCATCCCAATAAACATTTTTGACCATTAACATTGCCCGTTATTATTTTAATTAAACTGAACAATTATTGATACTTTAAAATATGAAATTTTTTTGCAAAACATTATTACAAAGTATTAAAAACTCTTACACGGTGGTAGTAGAAAAACATAAATTATTAAAAAACTTATAAACATATGGTTTAAATTTCAAACTATTGTATAACTAACAACTGAACTCGAACTTTTTTGTAAAATTGCGAAGATTCCTATTAACAAATATTGTTGACAAAAGCGTATAATTATAATTGTACCTATGATAGGTAACCTATCTTAAGATATAAAAACACGATTACTTGAAAAACTATATTATGAAGGTAAAATTTAAAATAAATTAAATAATGGGAACAAGGTTGTCACATTACCTTCCCGTACAATGTTTTAAATTGTACTGCGATTTCTAATCTTTGGGTGTTACTTCTTTTTGTTAGTACTTCTATGATGGCCTTTTCATCGGTACCAAAGCCTTTCATGGCCTTTCTGAGGATTTCCGCATCATGTCTTGCGTCGAAAGATTGTGCTGGTACCACTGTGGGAGTCCTCTAAAAAAGAAAATAATGTTTTAAATATAGAATACTAACCCTAGATTACAGTAACTGTTGAAAATACAAAGCTTTTAAAGACGTCCAAAAACACAATCTCTTATTTTTGTAGGACAAACGTAAGGCTAAATGCTGTATAACGCGGTATAACTTTTATGATCGTTATTATAAAAATATAAAAATGTAAAATTAAGTACCGTTTCTTTTAATAGATGCGGTATTTGTCTTTAATTATAGATATAAAAAAACTTGAAAACAAAACAAGATTGGACGGGTGATTGATCCTTAGCATGTGGACAGCGCGGTCCTAATTGGCTCTTACAGTCCGTTCAGGCTAAGTTGAGCGCTTTGGTGGGGGATCTTGTGACCGTTGATTAAATTAAATATCTAATCCTCGCAAGATTTCGGTAACAAGAAGATGATTTATCAGTGCCGGGGCTTGCGGTTTGTTGGTACAGAGCGGCTACCGAAATACATGTATTTAATTGTGACTAAACATAGAGATGATGGACGGGGTGACATTCCTAAGACCGCTCAACTTAGCCTGAACGGACAGTACTTACTTACTTACAAATTTTGTATAATTACCTGTGATAGGTAGGTAGGGGCACATTAAAAAATTATAGTACCTTAGGTTTTAAAGCTGGTTGTCCCTGTCCCCCAGTATAACTAAATGGTTGCCCTGTATGACCTCCTCCAGATGGGCCGTATTGACCCCCATGACCCCCATGAGGAGGAGCACCTGGAGCACTGGGGTTGGGAGGATACGACCCACCATGGCTTGGAGGATAACCCCCGGAGTTCTGAGGAGGATAACCCCCTTGACTTGGTGGATATCCACCTGAGCTTTGTGGAGGATAACCTCCGGACATAGGAGGGCTACCTCCTGAATTATGCGGAGGATAGCCTCCAGAACTTGGGGGATAACCTCCGGACATAGGAGGGTGACCTCCTGAATTATGCGGAGGATAACCACCTGCACTTGGAGGATAACCTCCTGCACTTGGAGGATAACCTCCTGAACTGGGAGGGTAACCTCCTGAGCTGGGAGGATAACCTCCTGAACTTGGAGGGTAACCTCCTGAGCTGGGAGGATAGCTAGGGTTGGATGGGGGGTATGTAGGCATAGGCATAGGTTGTGGCATGGTCATCGGGGCTCCTGAGGGGTAACCAAGGTTATGGGGGGGAGGTGCTCCCCCTTGTTGGGGGTAAGGGCTATACTGTTGTTGCGGGTAAGGCGATGATCCCTAGGGACAACTTTGTTAGTTCGTGTTTTTGTGAAATTTAATTAATTAATTTGTTGATTGTTTTGGGAATATCAAAAAATAATCGATACAGATAATGGATAATTAAAAATGGTGTAAAATTTAATTTTCACGGTATTTATGATATCAGTTTTAAGGTATTATTACTACGTGCAAATAATAATGTACCTAAGTAATTCGAAAAAAGTTATTAAATTTGTATTTAATGAATAATTTTTAATATTTAATCGCTAACATTTATTATCAAATCCTGTGGTGAATAATTTTATTGATAAATATGTATATTGTTTCCTTCTTTTTTAATTTTAAGTTCCAAATTTCTAAAAATTTCGTATAGGTACAATTTTTTAAAATTAATATATATACTAGGGGGGCATTCCACGTTACTCGGTAATTTTTGTCCCGCCCGTCACAATTAAAAATTGTGAGTAAAAACCACAAGTTATAAAATTAATATTTTATATTATTTTTATTGTGCTTATAACTTATTAAAAGCATAATAAAGCAATATTTTTAAATAAATTTTATAACGTGTGGTTTTTACTCACAATTTTTAATTGTGACGGGCGGGACAAAAATCCCCGAGTAACGTGGAATGACCCTAGGGTGGAGCGAAATTTTTTTTTTCCTTAGCCTGGGGGTGGAATTTGTAGCCTTTAAAAAAAGAAAATTTTTGAAAAAAAAAAATTTTTACTCAACGTCTTGAGGTGGCCCACTGATTTTTTAAATTAAATTTAAGTTAAAATTCTTTTGAATAAAAAAAATGTTTTTTGGCTTGTAATCTTCAAATTTATCTAAAAATAAACAAGTTTGATCGTTTTCAACTCGAAATTCGCTCTATTGCCTCAGAAAAGCATGTTACTATTTTGGATTTTTTTTTTAAACAACAATAATGACCACAACATTTTTTTTAAGTTCATAACTGTTAATTAGCAAGAAAGAGGACACTCCGCAGTTTCCGGAACACTTATGAAATTTTTTTTTTATTCAAAAGAATTTTAACTTAAATTTAATTTAAAAAATCAGTGGGCCACCTCAAGACGTTGAGTAAAAAATTTTTTTTTTATTTCAAAAATTTTCTTTTTTTATAGGCTACAAATTCCACCCCCAAGCTAAGAAAAAAATTGTTTTTTTCGCTCCACCCTAATATATACATATATATGTATAGTGCTACAGTGGAAAGGACGGCTGTTCAATACCCGCGTGAAAAGAACAAGGATAGAACGCCAAATAGAATTTGATTGGCCAGCCGGCAGGCTACGACAACGCATACCCATCGCGCACCTCGCAGCGTGCTTGAGCTTGACACGATGATATCAGAAGTTCTGATTCAGAACGAGAACTGCAGTGGTGCTAGCAAGAGGTAGTAAATTTTAGTAAAAAAGATTATTTAATTAAAAAATGTAGCTACACGTTGGAACAAAAAGTTCAGATTTTAATCTGGCATTTTGCTGGTAATTCTGAACGAGAAATTCAAAGATTATTTGCGGGAATGTTCGAGGCCAGACCAAACAGAGAAACAATTCGACGAACCGTTAATAATTGCTTGTTCGAACATTTAATTTAATTTTTCAGTTATTTATTTTTAGAGTTTTATTAGACCAGGGTCGATAATTTTTGAAACCAAAAAAATAACAGTAGGATGAAACCCATTGGAAAAGGAGAAGAATATAATAAAAATAAAAGGAAAAATAAATTACGGGCGATCTGACTTTGGGAAGTGGGAGGGGGGGTTTTAAGGGTAAAAAATGGTTTATCTCGATTTCCGGCAAAACTACAAGTCCTATGGAAAAAAGTTAAATGGCAAAGTTGTAGGTAATAAAAGGATCTACAACTTTTGTAATTACAATTTTTTTACATAACCTCAAAATTTATGGAAAAAATTCAAAAAACCAAGTTTTTGGTTTTTTATTTTTATCTTTTTCAAAAAAAAAATTTTTCCACGAAATTTGGTGAAAACTTACCTTTTTATGTCCCAAATACACTGTAATTTATTTGATTTGAAATATTTATTATTTCGCCTTATTTTGACTTAATATCAAAAAAGCACCCTAATTTTCAATCGAAAATTCTCGCGTCAAAATATCAGCTTTTTTCAAAAAGTCGGTGTGCTTTTTGTTTGTTGAAATCTCTACTTTCTGATGGTGTAAAAAAATATACATACTATGGTAAATGTTCTCAGAAAATGCAAAAAATATTATGGAAAAAAAATTTTTTTTGAAAAAGATAAAAATAAAAAACCAAAAACTTGGTTTTTTGATTTTTTCACATAAATTTTGAGGTTATGTGAAAAAATTGTAAATACAAAAGTTGTAGATCTTTTTATTACCTACAACTTTGACATTTAACTTTTTTTCATAGGACTTGTAGTTTTGCCGGAAATCGAGATAAACCATTTTTTACCCTTAAACCCCCCCCCTCCCACTTCCCGAACTCAGATCGCCCGTAATTTATTTTTTCTTTAATTTTTATTATATTCCCCTCCTTTTCCAATGGGTTTCATCCTACTGTTATTTTTTTTCTCTTTTTACCATTTTTAAAGGCTTCTGCACTGGTCTATATTTTTATTTAGAGTTTTATTTTTATTTTTAGTTATTTTTATTTGAGAAATCTTTTTTATTAAGAATACTATTTTTGTTGTTGCCCTAGATCTCAAGGAAAAAAATTAAAAAATTTTATTTTTAGGATTCGGGTATAAAATATTTAAAAAGAAAATTAAAATGTGCATCTCCACTCTAACGCAGTTTGCTGAACACTAAATCATTTAGTCCACAATCCACAATGTGTGGATTGTGATTTAGTCTAAATGCAGCCAGAGTTGACGGTCAACTGTTGACCTCGCTTACAATTCGCACGCATCCGGGGCTCTGGCCAATCAAATTCTATTTGGCGTTCTATCCTTGTTCTTTTCACGCGGGTATTGAACAGCCGTCCTTTCCAGTGCGGTCGGACTTGCATTTGCAAGCACTGTATATACTCCACTAAGCAGATAATTAAATAATTTTCAAAAATAAATAAATAAAATCTGACATCTGTCAAATATTCACGGAAAAAACCCAATATTATGCAATTTGAGTAGATAAAATAATTATTATTGAATGTATTTGTTTTTTAAATTGTTTGCAAATAACATTTACCATATTGTTTTTAATTTATGGAACTATTTTATCAACAAACCATTTTACGTCAAATAGGTATTGTTTATAACAATATACACCTATTGTAATAATAATTAATATTTATAGTAAAAAAAATGTTTTAAAAATTAAGTTATTGATTCATAAAGTCAATGGCAAAACAATTAGGTACTGTTTATAAATAATTTTAGCATAAAATAACAATAATTATTGTTAACAGTAATCAATGGCCAATAAAAACAGATAAAAATAAAACCCAAACACTATAAAAACGCAAAATAAAACTGACACATCATTTAAATTAGATCAAACCAAAATGCACCTACCTGTTGATAACTCATGATAATCTATAGTGCTCTATAACTCTCGCTAAAACACAAAACAAATAATTAATAGATTAATAAGTAAATAATTAGCAGTCTGTTGAACACCGCACCTTTATACTGTTTTACTATTTTCTGTGACTAGGAGTCACTGACTACTATAAATAACGATGACGTATCCAAACTAGTTTGAATAAATAAGTGCTTTCACAAGTGATGCCTACCTTTATTGTATTCTGTATAGACGTAGATAATGACAGTTTCGGGATTTTCACAGAAGCAAGTGACTAATTCAACTGTATACGTCACACCACACTGATAAATAATTTAACAAGGTTGAGAAACAGAATCCATACAGGCGGGGGGACCACGTGACTTGAAAGATAATTCAGACGACATGGGCGGAGCAGGGAGTGGGATAACGGGTTTATTTTAGTCTCTTAAATGAAACAAGAGTTATTTTAATAATTAAACATTTATTAAGTACATCAACAATGGATGGCATCAAGTCGTATAAGATGTGACGTGCGTGAACAATATCTATTCCTGCACAGACTAGTGGTCTATTGTTTCCGGTTTAAAGTTATGATGTTCTGCAGAACCATGGTTAAGGTTTGAAATCCCGAAATATCAGGTTTTGGTACATTTTTCTTGACCATGATGTTCTTAAGAACATCTGGTCAATTGACCAGAACTTCTGGAGTTATGGGTAACTTCTTTTACAAAATCATGTTGAAGGTCGATTTATCGGTGCCCCATTTACCTTCTCCATGGAGAAGCGTTTAAGGGAGCCTGGCTTTGGCGATTGCTTGATATGGGTTTGTATCAAAGCATTCGTCTCTTGCCGAGTTACAGAGAAAGATCATGAGGTGTCTGAGATGTCTTCTTTTAAAACATATTTAGTTTAAATTTTGAAAACCGTCTTTATATTTATATTTGGATGTTGTTTATCTTAACCAAAATTTCCTGTGATAAGAATGTACATTTTAGAATATTAACAAATGAATAAATCAAAATTCCTACATTAATTACCTACTTACTTCCTATTTAATCATGAAAACAGGATCGACTCTTGTTCCAGTTAGTCTATCTGACAGTTAAATTCCATATCGATCGTTGTGAGAACAATGGTATCAATGGAGATTATCTGCCAGATAACTAACTGCAACTTTAACTGGACATTGATAAACCGGCCCTTAGGGTCGGTTTATCAATCTCTAGTTAAGTTCCAGTTAGTCTATCTAACAGTTAAATTTCATATCGATCGTTGTGAGAACAATGGTATCCATGGAAATTATCTAACAGATAACTAACTGCAACTTTAACTGGACATTGATAAACCGACCCGGTTTTTTAATCGTTGGTTAAGTTTATCTAACGGTTAACTTTCTTAGATACTATTGTGTTAACAATAGTATCTAAGGAAATTAACCGTAAGATAAAATTAACCAACGATTGAAAAACCGGCCCTAAGGGCATATTAGACAGACATATCTCACACCCAATTCAAGACCACCGTAACTCAAAAAACATTAAAATAAGATAATCAAGTTTTTAAAGTTTTGCAAAGATTAAAGGAATTTTTTGAAGAAAGTAAGGACGATAATAACGCCCTTTTTCAACCTCTACATGGCAAATCTAATGGCTTTTAATCATTATATTTCGTAAACGTCTATATATATATAAATATATTTTTTAGAAAGATTTTATTTCATTATTTAAAGAAAATATGTTAGTATTGAACTACCTACAAGTTTGTCTCATACTTTCTAATAAGGTTTGTGGCATTTTCACTTTTTTGTTACCTACACTAAATAAAAGAGATTTTTGTTAATTTAATTTATTTTCATCAAATATTATATTATTATATCATATTTATTAAATTAATATCTAATATCTATTAAATTAATATCTAACGAAACTGCGTAGGTACCTTTACTTTTTCTTTCGTTTTAAACTTTTTTTTTGTTTTGGTTGAGACGACTTCAGTGAATTATAAAATTCATGATAGGGTTCTTTTAATAGAATAGAATAGAATAGAATAGAATAGTTTATTGTCATCAATAAAATTACATGACTTGTCAAAAAATTACAATATAATACAATACAATAAATGTTAATAAAAAATGGAAATTTACATAAAATATAAAAAAACTTATAGGTAAGACCAGATAGTTGTAAAAAACATCACAGTAAAGTTTACAAATTAAAAGAGAGATACAAACTTATACAATAAAAACATTAAAATTTAAGAGATTAATTACATTTGAACTTACATTTAAAATTAAAATTTAAAAAAATCTTGTACACTATACAAACATAGACTTATTAGAATTTCTTTTACAACATTATGAAATTTTTCACAATTTAAAGTTTTTACAGTATCAGGTAAGTGGTTATATAGTTTTGGACCCCAGTAATCCACAGATCTCTGGGTGGCATTTATTCTGTGATAAGGTATAATAAAATGTTCTTTATTTCTTGTGTTATAATTGTGAAAATTGGTATTGGTTAAAAATTTATTTTTGTTACAATGTACATGCTTTAGAACATTTAGGACATATACACCATAAAAAGTAAGTATTTTTTCATTTTTGAAATATTGTCTGCAGCTGTCACTATATTTGAGAGAGCATAGAGCTCGCACTGCTCTTTTTTGTAGAAGGAACACTCTATTTGCTTCTTTGGCTTCACCCCAAACCAGGATACCATATGACGTACATAATGCTGTGGAAATTGGCAAAGTATGTCATTTTTGCACTTTGGTGGGTAGCACTTGTTTTTATTCTTCTTATTCCGTATATCGCTGAGTTTAGTTTTTTTGCAAGTTCATATATGTGACTTGCCCAGTTTAATTTACTGCCATTGTTGTACAAAAGAAATAAAAGTCCCTCTTTTTTTATAAGTTATTACATACAATTGCATTGGTCTTGCACACAACATTAAGAGAAATTAGTTTAATGTAGGCACCATATATTTTTATATACAGATATTTCAGTGCAATATAAATGTATGTGTAATAAAGTTATTAAGTTATAATGGTTTCTTAAATGTAGTTCTTAGGTTGTTTAAGTATTTAAAAACCACCATAACTCAAAACTGATGATTTTTGAGTTATGGTCCTATGACAGATGGCTTGTTCTGTGGATAGATGTTAAAATCTAATATTATATAGTAGGTACAGGTACAACATAGTAAATGTCTAATAAATCAATATACAAAGGTTAGAAGTAGCAAAGTATATTTATGATTATATTATTAAAACTACAAAATGGGATTGAAATTCGATAATGTTTTTATAATCAAATATAATAGTTTAAAACCTGATCGATTCTGACTCTAAATATATCATTAAAACCTGATAATTGAACAAAATAAGATTGAAAGTCGATTATGTTGTTTATCTACGAATTTATTAAAAAAATAAAAAATCAGGATGGGCATGTTGAGTCTTACTTTAACAAGGCTTTTTAGTACCAGCCCATGATATGGCTTTATGAAAACATATTGCCTAATATTTTGCTGGGGTATCTTCAGAGATAAGATGACTTTTTCTAATCTTAACCCAGTTTTGAATTTGGTTTTTATGTAATTGATTTATTTATTAAACTAAACAAGAGTTAATTTTAAAGTAAAACATTTATTACATGAACGATAAATAACAACATTAGTGGTGTAATATGTGATTTAAACAATACTGAGACAAGATTTTTATGAGTTGGTAAGTTAATGGTGTCCGGTGAGTGCCAACAGGCATTTCTTGTAGTCCCCTGAACAGTCGCTCTGTAAAAAAGGTACAAATAATATTTTGATTGCTTTAAAATCATGTTTCTTACTCTTATAGCCTCCCCCAGCGATTTCCCATACATTTGCTCGTACTCGGCCTTGATATCCTCCATATCGACTTCACATCTGGACACAATCAACCTGATCAACTGGTCGTCATTTGTCCCCATGCCGGCCATACTTTTGTGCAATCTTTTGGCGTAAAAAGCCGCAGGATTTTTCGTGGATCTCACAACGGCCAACATGCCATCCTCAGCGCTTCCAGAGAACTCGCTTTTGATGGATTCTTCAATATCCTTTCCTGTGATGTTCTGGTACTCATCGAAAGTAGCCTGAAGTTGGGGGTAGCTTCTTTGGCATAAAATCATGTTGAAGGTAGACTCGTCGGTACCCCATTGACCTTCGCCAGCGTCTGCGAGAGCCGCCGCGTCGGCGGTTGCTTGATCTGGGTTTACATCGAAGCATTCGTCTCTTGCTGCGTTACAGAGCGAGACCATGAGGCGTTTGAAGGTGCCTGATGTATCTCCTTTAAGATCATCCTCGAGAGAGTTCCCATACACTAAGATATTATATTGAAAATTACAAAAAAAGTATTTACTGTTATATTTAGACTTGGTTTACAACCACAACTTCCTTTGATCTCCCTGTTGAAAAACCCGCATAAAAACTTAAAAACATAAAAGTTCTATAATATTTAATAAGGATGTATGCGGTTTCTTAGTTTCTATAAGGTTTTGTCTAATTGCTCATAAGGGTTTTATCAGAATTCTATCAGTTTTTATAAGAAATAGTTTTATCAGCCGTGACTAATAAAACTTTTATTAGTTTTTATAAGACTTTAGGAGGTACAAATTTCTTTAAGAAATTCCAACTAAAATGTTGAAGTGTATTTATAAGATTTTATGTGCACAAGACTTTTATCAGTTTTAATGTGGTTCCTATTTGATAATTGTTTATGAGATTTTATGTGACTCTATGAGGGATGTATGTTTATTGGTTTGTGTAAGGCCTTAACTATTAGATGTCTATAAGAAGCTATAAGTATTAGGGTGTTTCAAAAAAAAAAACAATTTTTGCACAAATACATGAATAACCTTTATATTTATGTATTTGTGCTTTTTGTGAGTTAAGTATTGAATTAATTAGTAAGAAAAAAAAGTTTCCAATCTCAGGTTAACAGAATTTTAGTGATTTAACATAAAAAATAATATAAACATGGCATATGATATTTTTATGTAGTTTTATGGAAAAATATTTGAAATTTTTGATTAGTTTTACTTTTGATCGCTGATATCTTCGAAACGGTTGATCTGAGGAACTTTGTCCTTTAGACGTTTTTTGTAGAGCGTGAAATTTCCTATAAATCCTCTCGCTTGGGTGTTACGCAAACCAACCAGTCCAAAGTTACAAAAATTCGAAAATAAAAAAAAAAATTTTACGTGTTATTTAAATGGAAAAACAACAAATGAATAGAGGCAAACCTTAATATTAATATTAAGGGCTCTAATAGGCACCAAAATTTTTGTTTTTAGATGTACTTTCAATTTTTCAACACCCTTAGAAAAAAAAAATTGTTTTTTTTTTTTGAAACACCCTAATAAGTATGGGTGACGTTCATAATATCGAAATTCACTTTATCGAATTCAAAATATCGAACACTTTTTATCGAAAATCAAAATATCGAAAATACAAAATGTCGAAAATCAAAATATCGAAAATTAAAATGTCGAAAATGATAATATCGAAATTTTATTTAATCGAATTTTCAATTTATCGAAAATAAAATATCGACGTTCATAATATCGAAATTCACTTTATCGAATTCAAAATATCGAACACTTTTTATCGAAAATCAAAATATCGAAAATACAAAATGTCGAAAATTAAAATGTCGAAAATGATAATATCGAAATTTTATTTAATCGAATTTTAATGTGAAACTAAACCATATTTTCTTATTTTGAATTTGATATTTTGTTTAAATATTTCAATTAATCGACATATTATTTTAATCCGAAGTGTATATGTATAGAGGCGCCTCTGATATAGAAATGTACTCAAACTCAACAACACAACCAAACCGACCCCGCCCCATTGGCCCCCCCCCGCCCCATTGAGCAAAAAACCCAACTAAAATGGGCTAATTTATGTAATTAAAAAGTGTTTTATTTTTATCGTAACATGAGCGCCATCTATCAGGAATTTAAAAAAAGTTTTTCCATAAAAGTTACTTATTTTTTAATAGTAAATCCGAATCTGCAATAAAAAATGGGGGTTCCTATTTAGAATATTAAAGTTGCCCCCACCCCCACCCCATGGGGTGGCGGTGAGGGGTCGACTTTGGTATCATTGGATGTCCCCCTTCCAGGCGAACAAATTTTATTCAAAACTTTTTTTGATCCGATGCATAGTTTTCGAAATATTTCAATGTCTTCAGATAAATCGGCCACCCTGTATATGAGAAATGAATTTTATCGGATTTTATTGTTTTTTTATATCTAACTTTTATAAGTTTTTATAAGACATTATATGGTAGGTGCAAATGTTTATAAGGAATTCCAGCTAAAATGTTAAAGAGTACTTATAAGACTTTATGTGCACATGGCTTTTATCAGTTTTAGCATGGTCCCTATTTGATTATTGTTTATGAGTGTTTATGAGACTTTATAAGGGATGTAAGTTTATTGGTTTGTATAGGGCCTTACCTATTATATGTCTATAAGAAGCTACAAGTATTTATAAGAAATTAATTTTATCGGATTTTATTGTTTTTTTACATCTAACTTTTATAAAACATAATATATACCCTTCATTCACTTATCCAATAAATAATAATACCCAGCTGTTACGTGTAACAGTATTACACTGTAACACCTATAAAATATTGATAACATTTACGCTTTTTTATCAATATTTTATTGGAGTTACAGTGTAACACTCTTACACGTAACAGCTGTGTACGAGTATTTATCGGATAAGTGAATATAAAGTTTTATGATTATATAGTGTCTTATTAAAACTTTTTTAATTCTCATAAAATATTATATAACATGATCGGTAAATACCTACTGATAAAGTTTAATAAGTTTTCACTAGAGCTTAAAAGTAAAACACCATAGTGTCTCTTAAAAACTTATACATACTCATAAAATATGTATATTATATTTAATATTATAACTACTACTCTACTGACTAGAGTTAAAAAGTAATGTCTCTTAAAAACTCATAAATACTCATAAAATATTATATAACTTGATGCGTAAATACTGATAGTTTAATAAGTTTTGACCAGAGTTGAAAAGTAATGTCTCTTAAAAACTCATAAATACTCATAAAATATTATATAACTTGATGCGTAAATACTGATAAAGTTTCATTAGTATTGACCAGAGTTGAAAAGTAGTGTCTCTTAAAAACCTATAGAATTTGAAAAGTTTGTATCAGAAATTGCTGTTTGATAGGCCCTATAAAAACTCATCAACTTTTATAAGTTTTTATGTGGGATTTTCAGCAGGGCTCATTAAGAATTTAAACTTAGGATATCAACAAAACGGTTTTTACAAATGATTAAATAAAGATACACCAATAACTTACTTTCTTCATATGTTTCTCTGATAATTTGGATATCATTACTTGTCATTGTACACATTATTTCTACAAGGACATCTTCATCAGTGCCAGCTCCTGATATGGCTTTATGAAGACATTTTGCGTAATATTCCGCAGCAGGCATCATCATAGCTAGAATTACTTTTTCCAAATTTCCTCCCAGTTCGCTTTTGAGATCATCTATCAAATCCTTTAACAGCAAGATTTTAGAACACGATGTTTTTACCTGTTTTAACTTGTCAACTTTAGTTTCTAAGCTTTCCATTTAAAGAGAAATATTTTAGAAACAACAGTTGATATATATTTCAATACCTTTCCATACATGGTTTTGAATTGCTGCGCAATCTCGAGACGTTGTTGGTTTGTTCTTCTGGCCAACACGTTAATTATGGCTTTTTCATCAGTACCAAAACCTTTCATGGCTTTTCTTAGGGTTTCGGCATCGGCTGCAGGGTCGAAAGGATCGGCCGGGTATACGGTGGGAGTTCTCTAAAGAAATAAGAAAAAAATTATACAGGTGGTCCCGAAAACACCATACCTCGCGCTTAGTACAAGATGTAACTTTGGCCCACTAGGTTGTGTGAATGAACAAAGATATTCTGACATGTCAATTTTATTTTTACAAAACGTAATACAACAAAAACATCCTCTCCCTATTAGATTTTTGCATTGATTAAGGATTTGGTTTCAATAAAGTTGGAATAAAAATGTTGTATGTAGGAGGTGCTCATGTGCAAAATTTCTTTGGTTCTTTGGTTAACAAAATGCGTGTTTAAAAATGGCGAATGCACCGGGATTAACTGAATTTTGGAGTGTCCCAATTGTCCGGTCTACCAACCTTAATAATAATAATTTATTTAATCCAAAGATGACAATTATTGCATTGGACATAAAAGAAAGTAAAGAATAAAAAAAATAGTTAAAAGAATTTTAAAAAAATTGGTGGCAGATTCTGACGGGTAGAACTACATGTTGTGGGGTAGTTGATTTTTTCGGGGATGTATCGAAATGCAAGTATTTTATTCGACAACCACAAAGAATTTAAAGCCAAATTCATTTGAATTTTTTATCTAACATCTGACAGCTGTCAATTATTTTTAAACTCCATAAACATTGCAAATTAAACTTAAAGCCAACTTCAGCCCGTTGGCAAAATTATATTTTGCCCACGGGCTGAAGCTGGCTTTTCTATTGCATAATATTGTATTTTTTAAAGTAATGATAAACATTATAAATTCCCTGCCTAACAACGGGAATAATGAACTCATTATTCACGTTGTTATGCATCAGTGATTGGCCGATTTTAATATTCACTGTGATTTAAACCAATCGGGTTTTAAATTGAGAGAAGGCCACTATAATGACATTTAAATTTGGTAAAAAGTGTTAACCTTTTGATAGATGTCAGATTTTATTTATTTAATTTTGAAAATCATTTAATTATCTACTTATTAAGTAGATAAAGTATGTATAGTATTACTGTAATACTATTACACTATGCGCATTATCTTTAGTATAATCTACGTTTTTCTACTCCCATACTTTAATTTGTTTATTTAGTTCGTTTTACAGTAAAGCAAATTGTTCGTTTTAAAGTAAAGCAAATTGTGATGCCCTTGACCTTTATTAAAATAACAAAAAGCCGGCTTGATATTAAAGGGGGAACCGATTATAAAAAAATTCAGCTGGGTAACCATCCTGGCTTAGATTTAAAGAAACTTAATTTACCTACTTTTAATTGTAAAAATTACGGATAAAGCATTTTTGAATAACAATCATACAAATTTGATATTATCACGAATAATTTAAGTAATTAGACTATTAGTGGATTAGCTAATTAAATTAAGTGAACATACCGATGCATAGCTGTAACTCATTTTGATATCCTTCTCGCACTTGTTGATCTAAATTATTAATACCGCTAAATTCCTTGAAAAAACAACAATATTATCATTTACAATTTATAATGGTTATAACCTTGCTCTAGGTACCTTAGGAATTTTGTTATTTTCGACAAATATAAACTGTTTTTAACAGTCGGAATTGTTTAATGACTTTTTAAACTTGTTAAACGTAGACAAACGTACACGTAACCGGTCGAGAAAAGACTGGCAAAAAGCTTTGTTTAGTGTCATGTGACCGCTGTTAAATACCAGTGGCGTAGTTTCAACAAATTTCCACATCTCTGGCGTTGATATAATATTATTTCCACAATCCACAATGGATTGTGATTATTTCTATGAAATATTATCATTTCATGTTGGAAAAATATTAACGTTAAAATGTTTGTGTTGGATAATAAAAATAATGTTTTTATAACAATATTATGTCTAAACTTTGTGGTTTGGCTAAGTACCTAAGTACATATCAGCTCATAAAAATTGATAAGCTCAAATAGGTATTGACTTCTTGATAACTGTGTTCTACATTAAAAAAAATTAAATGTGGTAGGTATATTTATTAGATAAGGATGTTTCATAGTAATCATAAATTGTTGTCACATCATTGAGTAAGATGTTAACATCTTACTCAATGGTCACAATACAATTTCTGACGGTTGGTATAAAAATTTCCGATTATCGCTTGAATTAACCGACTCAATAAATATAAACAAAGTAATTACTTATCCATTACATTAATTAATACGAGAATATTATCGTAAAATACTAAAATACTAAATATTTATAAATATTTCTACAAATTGGTGATTTTCCAGGAATATGCGCTTTCATCTAGGAATAATTCGCTTCATTCTAGGAATATTCATTGGGAATATTCCTCTAAAACTTCCAAACACCATTAAGAACATTCCCAGTGAATATTCATAAGTTTAGTTGCAATACCTCTCACCGTTGCTTACGAATGTTTATAACTATATATACCGATAGGTTAAAAATATCAGTTTAAGATGTGCGTCTGTGATGGCACAGCTAAACAATGATTAGAGTGGGACTACTCAGTAACTAATAATGGCTAGTAAGTTAAGTTCCTGTGTATAAGTGGTCATAAGGGCTAGGAGTAATCCTCAAATTATATTAAGAGACATTCTAACAATACTTAAGTCTTATGCATGCCGCTACATGGAATACTATTTTTATGATGACTGGGTTAACCAAAAAGCGAACATTTGATTACGCCAGGAATATTCTGTTACGCTTGGAATAATCCTGGGAATGAATATTCCTGACATATGCAGGAAATGGGATTTTGCCGTCTGGGAGGCCTCCCGGGAGTTTTGTTAAAATATAAAAGTAAAACATATATGTTTTTTAAGTTGTTTTCAAGAAACTCATGATTTACAACCAAATAATAGTATTTTCTTATTGTAAACAAGAAGTTACTACGAATAAGACAATTTTACTTCATACAAGAAAAACTGTTTCAAATAAATGCATTTTCTTAAATCAAGAGATTACTTTTCTCTGTGCACAGAGAAAAGTAATCTCTTGATTTTACTATATCTGTCTTGACTCAAATAAATTATTTATTTAATAGTATACTATAAAGATCATAAAAAAAATATTAAAACACAACTGTCTCTCACATTTCGGTAAAATTGCCAATTACTTTATCGAATTTATTAAAAAAATAAAATTAAAAACCGGGATGGCGGCCCTGGCATTTTGTGTCTTGCTTTATCAAGAACATCTTTATTATAATAAAGTAACAGCCCCTGACATGGCTTTATGAAGAAATTTTGTCTAATATTGTGCTAGGGCATCTTTAGAACTGAGATGACTGTTTCTAATTGCATCCCAGTTATTTAGGGTTTTACGTAATTGATTGATTGATTTAAACGAAACTAGTTTTAATTAAAACATTTATTACATGAAGGGTAAATAACTACATCTATACTATAGTAGTGTAATACGTGATTTAAACAATACCGAGACAACATTAAAATGAGTTTCTTAGGATTTAGTAAGTTATTCGTGTCCGGTGAGTACCAAAAGGCATTCCTTGTAGTCCCCTGAACAGCCGCGCTGTAAAAAATGGTATAAATAATATTTGTGTTGCGTTAAAATCCATTTTTCTTACTTTTATAGCTTCTTCAAGCGATTTTCCATAGATTTTCTCGTACTCGGCCTTGATATCCTCCATATCGAATTCACATCTGGACACAATCAACCCAATCAACTGGTCGTGATTTGTCACCAAGCCGGCCATACTTTTGTGCAATCTTTTGGCGTAAATAGCCGCTGGATTTTTTGTGAACTCCACAACGGCCAACACACCGTCTTCACCGTTTCCACAAAACTCCCTTTTGATGTCATCTTCAATATCCTTTCCTGTGATTTTCTGGTACTCATCGAAAGTAGCCTGAACTTGAGGGAAGCTTCTTTGACATAAAATCATGTTAAAGGTCGATTCGTCGGTACACCATTGACCTTTCACAGCGTCTGCGAGAGCCTGGGCGTCGGCAATTGCTTGATCTATTTGTAGACCAAAGATTCTGTCTTTTGCTGCGCTACACTGCGAGACCATGAGGCGTTTGAATGTGTCTGATGTATCTCCTTTAAGATCGTCCTCGAGAGAATTTCCATACACTAAGTTTAAATATTGAAAATTACAAGAAAAGTCTTAACCACAACTTACTTTGATGTCATTAAGAATGTAAACTTTAGGATATCAACAAAATGGTTTTTACAAATGAACAAATTAAGGTACATTAATAACTTACTTTTTTCATATGTTTCTCTGATAAGTTTGATATGATAATTATTCATAGTACACATTATTTCTACAAGGACATCTTCATCAGTACCAGCTCCTGATATGGCTTTATAGAGACATGTTGCATAATATTCTGCAGCAGGCATCATCATAGCTAGGATAACTTTTTCCAAATTTCCTTCCAGTTTGCTTTTGAGATCATCTATCAAATTCTAAAAGCAAGATTTTAGAACAAGATGTTTTTACATGTTTTAACTTGTCAACTCTAGTTTCTAAGTTTTCGTTTAAAGAGAAATATTTCAGAAACTAGAGTTGAAATATCTTTCTATACCTTTCCACACAAGGTTTTGAAGTGCTGCGCAATCTCGAGACGTTGTTTGTTTCTTCTTCTGGCCAACATGTTAATGATGGCTTTTGCATCAGTACCAAAACCTTCCATGGCATTTTTTAGGGTTTCGGCATCGGCTGCAGGGTTGAAAGGATCGGCCGCGGATACGGTGCCCTGGCGAAAATGAAATGTGCAAAATTATTTGAGAACAATGTGCCAACAATGTGCTTTTAAAAAAATGATGTGCGGAGGGTGAGAAATGGAACATGAAACAATGTGCAAAACAAACAATTTAAAAGTGTGAATAATCACTGGACAATGTTCTAAAGGGAACTCCTTTTGATTTTTCACATTGTTTGCACACTGTTTCTTGCCACCTGCCCAGCAAGCACAAACATCCTCAGGACATCCTTGGACCAGCCTAAATGTCCCAGAATGGGATGATCCTATAAGGACTTCCTGAGGACGTCCATAGGTTGACCTTAGCGGACATAAGATCTTTTTTAGGTCCCATTTTGGGATATCCTAGGAATGTCATTTAAGGATGTCGTTAGGACCTAATAATATCCTAATTAAAGCCTAAAATGGGCTGATCATAGGACTAATCCCAGAGACATCCTCAGAATGTCCCGTTGGGTTTTGGTAAACATTTGGTATGCACATTTTTCTATAAGAATATTTTAACCATAGGTATAATTAATAATACCTACATTTTTTACATAACTTATTTTGCATAGACACATCTTAAAAATGTCAATCAATATAATTATAATATTATATTATATAGATTTTATAAGAAGTTTATAAACGACTTGCATACTATATTTTTTCTACGACAATCACAAAAATTAAATAACTTTCAACAATTATATTTAAATAATTATTTATAAAATCTGACATCGACCAGTCTATTCTAACCTCACTTTTAGACCCTTTATTTTGATGGTCATTGTTTCGCAGTTGACAACTGCAATTAACTTCAACCCATGACTAAAAAGTCTGAATGCCATTGCTGCCAACTTCAGCCCGTGACTAAAACGCCATAAAACCACAACTTGTCAATGTGTATTTAAAATATCATGGAAACATGTACGATAATCGGCGTTTTAAAGGCGGGAGTTTAAAAACAATATTATATTTTGTGTATTTGTTATATGACCACAAAATATATTTTGTATACAACTGGATAGCAGCCAACTTAATACGAATGCGCAGAAATGACGGCTGGTAATTAATAATTGTTCAAACACCTTGTTTGTAAGGTAGTAAGCATCAGTTAACCTTAAAAATGTAATTACAAACGCAATCTATAACTTATTTAATAGTTTGTGTTACCGATTGTTTTAAATTTGCCGCCATACATTATGGTGGTAACCGTTGTCTATGGTGGTAACACTGGATGGAGAGAAAGCTAAGATGACGTATAGCGTCCTTTAGTTGTTTGACGCCTTTTTGTTAGAAAGAATCATAGATAACACTGTGAAAGGAATTCTTTGTGCCGTGAATTCTTTTTCTGTGTCCTGAACCTGGTTTAAGGCCGTGAATCTCGTGTTCTCCAAGTGTGTTTGTTATAATATAATATTAATTTAGTGTTGGATATTTTAACAACAATCAGAAAGTTCCAGTGCTTATTAATTGTTTATTTTTAAGTTTAGGATAGTTAGGCTATAATAATTTTTTGTTCCATATTAAGTTGTCTTTTCATTTAATAAAATGTTATTTTTGTAATTACTTCAGAAACCTGATGTTCAATTGTTATTCTGTCTTAACCATTTTAATCAAAAGAAAAAATGCCACTAATTTGCTAATTTAACTGACTTTGAGCTGCAATAATAATGGAGTTAAAATGGTGAGCAGATAACTTTGGACACTGTGTATATATAAATAATATAACTATTATATTTATTTAGAATTATTATTTATTTTACTTTTATAATAGTTGTTTTATTTTTATTTTATTTTATATAATTGGCTGTGTAAAATTATATATATGTATACAGAATTAAAATAATATATTTTATAAAGTAATAAAATGGTATTTGATTGTTTAAAATGTATCCCTAACAAATAACAAGGCCATTCAGAGGATGTCCTCAGGACATCCCATTCCTGGACCTACATATACCCATGGGACTTTCAGGGGACATCCTTAGGATGTCCTATTCCTGGACCTATATGGACCTAGGGATATCCCTAGGATATCCTAAAGGCCATTTGCGGGACGTCTGTAGGCTGGCCTTTTTTGCACCATTCGGCCATGGTTGGGATGTCCTGAGGAGGTCTGAGGACGTCCTAGGATATCCTTGGGATATCCCAATATCCTGTAAGGCTTTCCTTAGGATGTCCTTAGGACAGACTTGTGCTAGCTGGGTGTGTGCCTATTACAAAAACAGATTCTTTTTGGTGACCTATCCCTGATAGCAAAATTTGATTCTAAGAATCTTCTAAGAAGATATGACTCGGAATAATGGAATATTCTTAGAACCTTCCCTTATTGCTAAGAAGGGACTTAGGGACTTAGGGACTTTTAAAACATTCAATAGATATTCTTTTAATGATGCAATTAGATTCTTAGAAGCTTCTTAAAACCTTCCTAAAAAGCAATCTAAAAACATTTTAAGAATACGTTTTTGGAATGTTCTTAGAAGGTTTCTTATGGAGCTTCTAGGAAGATTTTGAAAATATTTCCAAATATGTCAGATACCCAGGTTCTAATATGTTGGATTCTACATTCGTAAAATTATTCAGAAGGCGACAAATACGCCTCACTGTCATAATATGACAGTGAAATGTATTTGTCGTCCCCTTAAAAAATTTTGCGACATATTAATATATATTTATTTAAAAGTATTAAATAAACAATTTGACCTCTAAACCATAAGTTGTATGACATTATTTTATAAAAAGTAAAATTGGAAAATTTTGTGGCATAAGTCAGATTAGATTGAAGTTGAAGATAGTTAGGATTATTATACATAAAAATGTTAATTCAGATATAAAAAATCGGTATACAAATTAATAAATATTTATTATTAACAAAAAATAAAATATAAAAAAACAAAATATTTCCTTATAAAATAATTCTTCATAAAAAAAAACCAAATAGTTCTTTATAAAAAAAACATTTTTCATTGTATTTAAGTTGGATAAAAGATTTTATATAAAAGCCGGATTATTTAGATACCTATAGGTATACCTATAGTAAAAGTATTTATTTCCACCTTCATAGTAAATGACATTTTATAGGTTAATTTTGTTGTTTTTGTATCCAAGTAAACGATATATTATGGGAACAGACTTGTAATATTTTACAGGCTTGTATAAAAGACCTGTAAAGTTTTACAGGCTTGTAGAAAAGCAATTTATGAAATGAAATGTCACATTTGGCATATTAATTAAAATTTTAAATTTGAAAATCGTTATCTAAAGGTGAATAAAAATTTGTACGTGTCACGCTTTGCAATTAATCTTACTAGGCTCACTGGATTATGGCGTTCGCTCCTGCGTCGCTCACCCCACAAACTTCCAGCTCGCCCGTAAAGATTCATTTACAAAGCTTGACACGTAAATAACTATTGTGTTATCGAATATTGTTTTAATTTGACAAATAACTATAAAAAAATATTTTGGGTTGTGTTTTTTACTTAGTATTTAATACTAAGTATAGGTACCTTTATACGTAGAATATTGTATATTTTACTATTATATAGGTACCTAACTGAACTGAATATGCTTGACAGAATTTTCCAGGAATATTCCTAAATGAACTTTCTATATCAATTACTTTCTCAACATTCTAAGCATATGTTTAGAGTGGATTAATTTTTACCACTAAACTTTGCACCTTCTAAGAACCTGCCTATAGGCCAGTTATGCTATATTTCTTTTAAGCATGTTCTTTAGAAGAAATATAGCATGATCCTAAGAATATTCTCACTGGAAGGTTTAAAAAACATTCTTAGAACATGACTAGAAGAAATATATAGCATGATCCTAAGAATATTCCCACTGGAAGGTTTAAAAAACATTCTTAGAATAAACTGTGCTATCAGGGATAAAGTCTTTTAAATTTACACGTAATTGAAATATAAATATCCTTATAATAATATTAATCAAATACATATTTTTTTCAAAAAAAAAAAAAAAAATACCCACAATGTAGGTCCTACATACTGTATTTTATTAAGAAAAATACCCGCACTGTCAACTCCACGAAGGATTGCTTTGATCTTAGCGATAGGCCGAGAAGCGATACATAAGATGGAATCTACCTCACCTTTTAAATAAATGTTGTACCCCAACTCAAGCGAGATATATCTAAAATGTGCTTAAATTGTTGAGTGATCGCTAAAACTGTACAAACAATCATGGGCGCCGGAAGGAATTTGTCTAGGGGGGGGGGCCTTAAAGTTTTTTACAATTTTGATAGATGTTATTTATAATCAAGTTGTACTGTGGAAGTTCACATTAAACTTAAGTCAAATAAAATATCATCTTTATTGTATGTATATTTACCTATTTATTTATATTGGTACATATTGCAAAAAATACATCACAGTTTTTTGGTAAATTTATAAATATAAAAAAATTGTATCGCCGAGGAATCTTATGAGGCGCCGTTTGTGCCATAATTATGTTGCTAATATATATTTATTTTTGTTTGATTATATATATTTTTTAAATTTATTTTTAAATTTACCTAATATATTTATTATTTTACTTAAAATATATTTATTTTTTAAGAACAATATATTTATTTTTGTGTGTTAATATTAATAATATTATAATAATATTATTAATACCTAATATTATGTTTTTTTGACATCTGCTAATATATATTTGTTTTTTTGACAGACAATTCAATGTGGCAACGTTGCATTGTCATTTAACTCGTTGTTCATAGATGTCGTTGTTGTATTAAGTTTATTGATACTTTACCGGCAATATTTTTTGAATTTTTGAGGTTAGATTCCATTAACGACTTTGTTTTTATTTATAAACGAAAGAAATAGTGAAGACGGTAATTTTTTTGCGGTTATTTAAAACAGGTAAATACCCAATAAATTTTTTTAATTAATTTTCTGAAATATTTTTTGTAAAAGCGAAATTTTAGTAATAATGGAAAGAAGTAGTCCAGAGTTGCGTAGCACACTTGTTTTGAGTAGCCACCGAAAATTCACCGATTTTTTCTTTCGTTTTTAAATAAAAACAATCGCTGATAGAATCTAACCTCAAACATTCAAAAAATATTGCCGGTAAAGTATCAGTAAACTTAAAACAACAACGACATCTATGAACAAGGGGTTAAATGACAATGCAACGTTGCCACATTGAATTGTCTGTCAAAAAAACAAATATATGTCAAAAAAACATAATATTATTATAATATTATTAATATTAACACAAAAAAATAAATATATTGTTCTTAAAAAATAAATAAATTTTAAGTAAAAAAATAAATATATTAAGTAAATTTAAAAATATATTAAAAAAATATAAATATTCAAACAAAAATAAATATATATTAGCAACATAATTATGGCACAAATGGCGCCTCATAGAATCTCCTCTAGTAGTACAGCCGTCTTATGTATACGCTATACAAATTATGATAAATTAAAATATAACAAAAAAATTAAATACAAACATGAGTAATATTTTAAAAATAAGTTATAACAATAACAAAAACTTAAAAAAATGTGGTTGCACTGTAGCGACTTTTTTAGGTAATACATATCGATGTTATGCTATAGCATGACATATATGTCATAGAGTAGTAATAACAGGATAATTATAAGCAATTTTTGTGTGTAACACGTCTTATTTTTTGTTTTGCAACACGCCTATTAGGTATTATGGTTATTTATAATATTATACAAATTATGGAGTACCGGAATTTCTGGGTATGAATTTCCAGGGGGGGGGCCGGGCCCCCCCCTGCCCCTATGTAGCGGCGCCCATGCAAACAATGTGCTATAAAAAGGTGTAATATAAGCGTCATAAATGAGAAATATTAAAGCGTGCTAACAGTGTGTATAAAATTTGACATGCGTAAGATAGACTAAAGCTTTGCAAAATGTCTTTAAACAATGTACTAACACTGTGCAAACATTGTGCTAAAATATCGATGACTTTCTGCCAAAGTATCGCAAGTAACATAACTCAAATTTCGGGAATTGAAAACATTATTGTTTTAAAGTCTGTTTTAAATTAAATATAGCCTAAAGGATTTATAACAAGTAAATAGCTATATTTATAAGCTATTTACTTGTTATAAATCCTTTAGGCTATATTTAATTTAAAACATACTTTAAGACAATATTGTATTAATAATGTTTTCAATTCCCGAAATTTGAGTTATGTTGCTTGCGATACTTTGGCAGAAAGTCATCGATATAATGTAATATAAGCGTGACGTATGACAAATAAAAAGCGTGATGTCAATGTACATAAAGAGTGAAAAAACTTAATTATTTCAAAAAGTGTAAAATTACCACAAAGTAGCGTATATGCACATTGTTATAAAGACTTGCACTCCAAATACACACTTAATTATTGCACACTTTTCATGCACGCTTTATTTTCGCCAGGGTGGGAGTTCTCTAAAGAAATAAGAAAAAATATATACAGGTGGTCCCGTAAACATCATAACTCGCGCTTAGTACAAGAAAAGGTAGATGTAACTTTGGCGCACTAGGTTGTGTGAAAGAACAAAGATATTCTGACATGTCAATTTTATTTTGACAAAACGTAATACAACAAAAACATCCTCTCCCTATTAGATTTTTGCATTGATTAAGGATTTTGTTTTAATAAAGTTGGAATAAAAATTTTGTATGCACTGTCCGTTCAGGCCAAGTTGAGCGGTCTAAGGCACCTTTATAATCTGTGGTCTAAGGAATGTCACCCCGTCCATCATCTCTATGTTTAGGCACACTTAAATACATTAATTTAATCAACGGTCACATGATCCCCCAACAAAGCGCTCAACTTAGCCTGGCTAATGCACCGGGATTAACTGAATTTTGGAGTGTCCCAATTGTTCGGTTTATATAGATAGATATTTATTTTTGCCACCATTTTGCGAAAATTATCATTGTTTGTTAAAATGATAAGCATATCCGCATTTCTAGAGGGCCCACGAAGTAATTTTTCAAAACAAAATATTTTTAGAAAAATAATTTTGTACCACTCATTATGCCCAAGCTACTGAATCGAATCAGTCTCTAAAAATAAATTAGTCAAAAATAACTAATGTAATAGTTATTAGTGGCTGCTTTTTCACTTGTACCATGGTATCCCAAAATTTAACAGTCAATTCCTATATAAAATTGTCCCCTGAATCCGAAAATATCATCAAAACGTAATAAAGTAGAACAGTTTTTGAGATATAGTCAATTTTCCATTTAATATCTCAAAAACTGCTCCACTTTCATAATTTTTTACCGTATTTTCGGATTCAGGGGACGATTTTACATAAATTTTGGTATACCATGGTATTCCATGCTTAACCATGGTACAAGTAAAAAAGCAGCCACTAATAGTAGCTAGGTATTTAATTAGTCATTTTTGACTAATTCATTTTTAGAGAGCAGTTAGTTAAATTAAGTGAACATACCGTTAATTTCATATGTAGGGTTGATTTACGAGGTACCGCCGTGCACATGTTGAAATTGTATATTATCTTGTTACACAAGTGTAGGTAACTACACTTAAGTGGCAAAAGCACAATTGTGGATTGTCTTAAAAAGTTTTGTTTATATAGTGGCATGTGACCGCTGTCAAACACGAGTGGTAATTTCAAAGAATTTCCACATCCTGAGAATTTCGGGTGAAATGTTAAAAATAGAAATACGAATTTGAATATTAAAATTGTTTTGTTAAATTTTTTTGTATCTCTGTGGTAGACAATAAAAATATGTCTAAACCAAGTCTTCCCAATATATTTAAATATATTTAAATGTTTAGTATTTTCAACTGCGGTCTGCAATTTAAACTTTATCTCACATGTGTGTGTACTAGTGGTGTCGATCCCCATCCTTTTCTTCAATCCCGGGACTAATCCCGGATCAGTCCCGAAAAAATATAAATCATTAATTTTAAAACCAATTTAAAATATAGGAACACACAAACTAACAAACGATATATTTTGGACTTTAAACTAGCTGGAGGAATGGTTTTCAAAAATTCGTAGGCACATTGCATATCCACGTTTACCGCCATTAACAAATAATTCCATTTATTTTATCAATCGGGCCTTGGTGACTTTCAATTGGGGTTGTAACTTGCATTGAAATTATCGAGTTTGTAAAATTTTTTCAGGTTTGACGTTTGAAATATGTTATATTATAGGTTATGTAAGTACATAAATTTATTCTACAGTGACCTGTAATTTTACATTTTCTTTGCTGATAGATGGAACCATTATTGTACGGCGGTGTATAATATTTTGACTTTTGAACTGCGTACAAAAATTAAGTATTTCTATATATGCTTATTAGGGTGACCGCAACTCATAGGGAGTGGAAAAAAATGTCGGAATTTTGTTCGTCTGGACCCCACAAAACGATTCCCCTTTCCAGATATTGAGTTAGCCGAAATTTGAGCTCGATTAAACGACGTTAACCCGTGCCGCTCGTCGCTCAAAGTTTGAAAAAATACAAATTTTTGGCCAAAAAGCTGACATATGGAGCCATAACTCCAGAACGGTAAATAATAAAAATACGCTTAATATCTCAAAAGAAAGCTAATGTTGTTCTTCAAAATTTGTAATCTATACATAATTGTTGTTATTTTAAGTCAAACCGAGTTACAACAGCATTTAGCCCCAAAAACATGACCTGGTACTACTAGGAGCATACTTCGTATATTTTGTTATTAAGTGATAAATTTTGCTTTTTTTGGTATATTTTTGAGTTTAAAGTAAAAGTATAATAAAAAAACAAGTAACACTGATAAATCTAATGACATTTTTTAATTTAAAATATAAAAATTAGGTATATAATACATACAAAACAGACACAGAAAAGATACAGACGTAGTAACTACATGAGTTGATTTTACATAGTTATCTAATCTATTCTAGAGCTTTTGTTAAAGTAGTTTTTGAAACGTCAGGATATAATGCTCGGCATTTGCTTACAACTTGCAGGACATATTGCTTTTGGCCTTCTTCTTTAGTCAGAAGGTTGTTAAAGTCGGTTATTAATTTAACACCACGCTCAGCCATATCATTAACTACCTTTAATGTTTTGACAATTTTCAATCCTTCTTGGAAGTCATTATTTTGAGGCCAGGATGTCTTAGGAAATCTGTTTTTATATTAAATCGGTTAAAGAATGTAAATGTTTCTTTGGTAAGTAGATTGGTAAATTCCATCAACTACCTCTTTTAATTTTTCTTTCCTAACTTTTGGATTTACAACCCTAGCGTGCTCTGATGGTTCATCTGTGCTACTGACCAATTTATTAGCCATTAACAACTTTTTATCGTCTGTAATGGTGGGATCAAAAAAAGATAATCCCACCAACTCTGCATTCAAATACCTTCTTGAATTTGTCGGTTCATTTTTGCAAGTTCCTTTTGCACCTTGATTTCTTCAGCTCGAGACAACTTAAGATCCACTCCAGTCATGGAACCTGGGCGGCCCTTCTGCCTCTGTTTCACGAGAAACGCCTTATCTTCTTCCGATTTCATCAGAGCCAAGGCATCTTGCTGAGCAATATCAAAGAGATCATCCAACTTTTCAACGAACTGTTTAAATTTGTTCTTAGCCGTTTCCGGTGTTTTCTTCCGGTCTTTTTGAAGAGTTCTCCACTCGGCGTAAAGTTTTTCCAAGCTTAGTAATTGCATCTTGCTCATGTTTAGTCGGAATTCGAGCTTTCTCTCAAAAAATGCACACTTTTCGTATGGCAAGTTGTGCTGATTCTCTTACAGTTAATTTCACAGCACGTAAATTATAAAATAAAACACACAAAACTTGACGATTTGAGGGTAGTTTACAACCGGTGATTTGGTGAATGGGATAGCCCACAAGAAATATTTTATCCTTGGTTCGGCTTTGTACACCTGATGTGGATGCCATTTTATCCGTAAAACAAAGATTAATAATACTTTTCTTCAAGATCCTGGTATCTACAGCCGGCAACGCATGAACTAAAGGCATACCACTCTATAGGCCGTCTTATATTTTGCTAATTCATACCTAATAAAAGGATTAGGTAATGCAAATAATTGTATAAACTAAATATAATTACCTACCTGATTTTTTGTTAAAACTTAACCTTTATTTAGTACAATACACACAGGTAAAACTAAATAATAATTTTTGGAGCAAATAGTAAAAATAATTTTAAAGAGCCTTTTTGTTTGAAAATTAAGTTCCAAAATAGTTTTTAATGAAAAATGTTAATTCCGAGACACATTGTGTAAAAACCCGTAAAACTCTTAGAATACACCCAAACTGGCTCCTAATGCTGCCAGGGCACGTTTTTGGGGTCAAAGGCTGTTGTAACTTTGTTTGACTTAAAATAACAACAATTATGTATAGAATATAAATTTTGAAGAACAACATTCGTTTTCTTTTGAGATATTAAGCGTATTTTTATTATTTACCGTTCTGGAGTTATGGCTCCATATGTCAGCTTTTTGACTAAAAATTTGGATTTTTTCAAACTTTGAGCGACGAGCGGCACGGGTTAACGTCGTTTAATCGAGCTCAAATTTCGTCTATCTCAATATCTGGAAAGGGGAATCGTTTTGTGGGGTCCAGACGAACAAAATTCCGACATCGATTTTTTGCGGTCACCCTAATGCTTATGAGTATTATGATATGAAAATTGTCATACGCTTGAAAAAAAAATATTTTATTGTTTGTAGCCTATTACACCGTAAAAAAAATCAACTCTAAGCAACACTAATTAGAGTTCACACAGGTCCACACTAAATAGTGTTGTTTTATAACACTACAATTAGAGTTCATTTGTAGTGTAATTTTCCCCAAGTAAGAAAGTATGATTTAACACTATAGTACTGAGGATAAAGGAATTTTACACTGTATTAAAAAGTGTTAATTTACCTAAAATCGTGTACTTCTACACTTCCTGAGCAAAATCCCACTTTTGTTCAGTGTAAATTAACACTACTTTGGAAAAGTTCTAATTTTAGAAAGGTACTTTTACTCTTTTAGTGCAAACATCTAGTGTAAATTAACACTATTTTTTGAGTAAAACCTATTGGTGGTAGTGAATAAAACGAAAAGGTAAATAAAGAGAAACATTTATTTGGAACAAAAATCTATGACAATTATCAAAATCGGTGCCTTTTAAAATATAATTTTATATTTGAGTCGTATGGCTGGCTTAAGCAAAATGGTTCCTTCAAAGTTTGAAATTCAAACGTAAAAGTTTTAGAACAATGCAATGTTTAAATGGCTGTCAACTTGTAAGCAATGATATATCTTGAGAATTCATCGGTAATCCATTTTTCTGTTATAAAAATGGGTGATCCCATTGGTAGAGAGGCGTCAGGCGGCTGTATGTCGGGGATTTACCACACGTGTACAAATTTTCCATAATATTAATAAAAATGTAGGTAGATATAGGTTTAGTAAACCTATATCTACCTATATAACAACCTATAATAACAACCATTACGCTTGAAAATAAAAAGTAAATCAAGTGTGTATGTATTTATATTATTAATGTTACAAGTACCCGACCTACTACCGTAAATTATTGATATATAATATAGGTCGGGTATGGACATCCTTTTAACATATTGGTATTTATTGAGTATTAAGGCTTAAAGAAAAAGAAAGTATAATACTTACCAAAAAATAAGAATGTCCTCTTATGGATTCACCGTAATTAAAATCTAACTGAACAAAAATGCCACACTTCCACAACGCGGTATCTCCGGATATGCACTGCGTAGGTAGATAGGTACCAACCAAACATTTTAAAACGCATTTTGGTTATTACCAGTTTTTTCAGTCTATTTTGCCACTATTGGTGAAATTTAACTTTATTTGTGATACAATGTGCCAAACAGACAAAGAAATTGGCATGCACTGTAGTGTACATTTTGTCACTATTTAACACATTAAGGGGTAATAAACACTCGCATTAAGTTTTTCTACCCTTTTGATTTATTTTAATAATTAATAGTGAGAATGTACCAATAAATAATGTTCATATTCTTTAAATGTGTTTAATAAAGTTAATAAGCACTAAATGCTACCTAGTGTATTTTGTAGTGTAAATTTTACACTTACAAATCAACTCTAATATTTTTAACCCTTAAATTTACACGGGCAAAATGTTTTACTGTATACTGGGCAAATTTTCGTTAAATGGACATTTGCTGTCTCCAGCTAATTTTATTTTTATTTTTGACTTTTGTTAATAAGTTTTGTATTTATTATATTTAAATACCCCCTTCCGGTTAGGACCCATCGTATTTTTTTTTCATTACTTTGTGTTTCTATATATGGCAGAAAAAACTAGGTGAAATGTTCTGTAACCTAACTGTCCCCAGAGGCGATTTTTTAATTTAAATTATTATATTATTCTTCTTTTCAGCTTTCTTCTGAAAAAATAAATTATTTTTGAACAGTGAAAAGTTCTTTTATTCGTATATAAAACCGGAATAATTTTCTACAAAGTAGTTTAAACAGAAAAAAATAATAAAGTTGAAATTCAAAAATCTTGTCTTTTAACGTCGCACAGTGTTTCAATTCTCGAAAATATCAAAAATTGACTTTTTTTAGGTAAATTTTGAGTTAGATGGGTTAATAACTGTCTCCTTCCTGTATTGAAAAAAATATATAAAATAAGTACTTGCGTAAATCGTTCGTGACTACTAAGATATTTAACACCGATTTTACATATTTAACCCACCTCTTGTAGGTGCCTTAAAACAACTCCGCATGCGCATTGTAGCGTGTTAATTTCAAATTTAAATTGTGCTTTTTGTGTTGATAATTTTTTTAGCCAATTAAGAAATCCTTGCTAAAATATTAAGTAAAAGAAATAATAAAAATTTAAAATACTTAGTATAAAATCTGTTATATTTAAATTTTATAAATAAATTTTGAAATTTGTCGATAAACTGCAGTGAATTGAATATTGCACCACTTTAATTTGATTTATCTTAATTTGGGGGACCGGAGGCTAAAAAACTAATTTTTTTGCAAACTTTAATTTAAATCTACCATTTTTAATTTTGGAATTCTGATTCCAGATTCGTTATCAGCGACCCCAAAAACCTCTATATGCGGATTTTTAGGAGAATCCGACTACTTCTTGATATTTTGCCGAAAATTTCGAGAATTAAAACACTGTGCGTCGCGACGCGTCGTCTTCTATGCTTCGAAATAGAGACAAGAGACACTAGCGTTTTATTTCTAGAGGGCATCCAGTTCGGCAACAACAAGTGAGCACGTGTAAAGTGTGTGAATTTTTTTGTAAATATTTTAAAGGTAAGATTTTTTTGCGTACACTTTTTGGTGTCTTTACAAAACGCTACATACAACTCTAGTTTTAGAAGTTACCTTTTTTATTTTCATTTTCTATTTTAGCATAGTAAAAATGCCAAATAAATGCCGGAAGATATTTACATTTAACATGTTACTGCAGTATTTCTGAAAAATAACGTTTGAAAAAGTCAAAAGCTATGTGTCATAAAACCTGCAGGAAGATGCGTTAGGGGGAGGACAATGTTTCATTTCTTCCTTATGTTCCCTCCCTATTTCAGATTAACCCTATAAGTTTTATTTCTTTAAAGTTTATTTTTGTTATTTATAAACTTCTAGAATTTTTTTGCAGTCTATTACACTGTTCTATCACAAAGGAAAAAAAATCGATCAAATTGCCTGGACAAAATATATATCCAAAATGTACATTTAACTAAAATTCGTCCTACTACGATCCCGGGATTGGGACTTTTTATCCCGGGATTTTCGGGATAGGATTTTTTACAGAATCCCGGGACCCCGGGATTCCCCTACTAGGGGATAAATTTTAACAGTTTACAAAATATAATTTAATATAATAAACAAACAACATTTTTTAGACTTCGCACTAGTTGGAGGAATGTTTTTAAAGAATTTGTAGGCACGTTATAGATTGTACCAACGTTTACCCCCTTTAGCAAATAATTCCATTTCTTTCTCACCCCTTTTTTGCTCTTTTATATTAGCCACCTGTGAAAAGTGAGACTTTTGGAACCGTATTTTGCATTTTGAATGTATAAAGAAAACACGGTCTAATTTTTATAAAGAAAACACGGTTAAATTTTTATTTGCTACTTTTGTGATATAAAAGAAACGAATATTTATAAACGTTTATAAATATATAATGTACATTATATTTTAGGGCTTAGGACTATTTAAGTAACAATGACAAACTAGTTTAAATACACGAGTGCTTTTGCAAGTGGCTTACCTTTATAAAGTTAAACCTCAGTTATTGTAAAAGCACAATATAGGTATTTTATTCTGTAGGTACCTAATAGGTACTACCTATAGGTAGATGATGACGCCCATGTCATCTGCATTATCTCGAGATAAGTGGGATAACAGGGGGTTTTGGTAATATATAAGAGTAAAATATACCATAAAGATCATACGCTTGTTATAACACTTAAAAAAAATCCTAAAACACAACTGTTCGCAATCGCCATTGCGAAAAAGCAGCCACTAATAATTCTCTTCAACAGCAATTAGTATCGCGAACATTTAGGAGTTAATTTCCATGTAAAATTGTCCCCTGAATCCGAAAATGTCAAAAGTTAAAAAAGTAAAACAGTATTTGAGATATAGTCAATTTTCCATTTAATATGGAATTGACTGTATCTCATAA